AATTGTGTGAAGTGTTCTTGCCTCCACCAGTAGTCTACAACTGGAGTGGGCGGAGTAACTGGTATCATTTATATAGCACATTTAATTGCAACGTTGTTGCACAGTTACATTAAACCATACATTTATAAAAACATTAGCAGGTGTTCAAAAGGCCCTGTCTATGACATCACTTGCTGCTGCAGCCTGGCACAGGTCAAAGTATTTTGGCGGTTGCCATCTTCAAACGGTCGTATTTTAAAAACTATAAATCCTACAGCGAAGAGCTTTATATTGTGAGAATCACAGGACCCAGACCTACATTTCGATGCATAGTATGTCTCTGAACTATTAAAAATGAAGGCACAGTCGCAGTTTAGAAATTGCACTTCAAATTTGAGCTTTGCAGAGTGGAGTTTCAATGAATGTCAATGGACGGCGTTAGTTGCAAACAAATGATTATATTGTAAAAACTATCAGGACTATGGCTTAGCCGTTGACATGTTTAGTGGCAGCAGGGATAGCTGAACGTTTTGATATAAGGTTTGTGTAGGTGGGCCTGAAAATAAGGGAGTGGTGGCAGTTTAGAAATCATGTCCTGATTTTTCAGCTTTTGCCAGCTCCCACTCTAGCTTTGCCATTCATTCCTATGGGACAAATTTCGCCACAAGAACGACGATATTCCGTGAACCATTCGTCGAAACGTTCCACAAAGTAATAGCAATCCGATCGGGAACAATCTGCACGTTTTGGTAAATTTTTGTCTATGTAGTGTTAAAACTGTGGGAGTAGTTAGGGTGGCAAATTTGGCTATAATAAGAATAATAATATATATGTGAGATAATAAGTGGTCTTGCTATGCAAGAATGATACTCTGGATAAACTATACAACAAAATAAAATAGAAATTTGATTCAAATCTAACTACACTACATTTAGAACTCACCCAGTTATCTACTAAATTATTAGTTCAAGCTCAGATGTTACAAAAACAATTAAGAATAATATAGTAATCTCCTTTTATGAAAAAAAATATTGGAATAAAGGATCACTATTCTGAAAAATGTGCCAACAGACCTGGAAGATTGGTCAAGGAGGAAGAACATAAGAATAAGAGGAGGAAAACAAAAAGAATTAACCTAGGGCCAAAATTTAGATATCACAAGGTAGAGGGCACAAAAAAAGGGGGGTAACCCCTAAATGGTGAATATCATAGAGAATAAACAAAAAAAGAAACAAATGCCATTCTACCTGTGTATGATTTACTGAGAAGATTATAGATTAAAAAGTAACTTTTAATAAATAAATCTAAAATAAAATATAAAAAAAGAATAATAATATGAACAGCAGGAGTAAATGGAGACTATACAGCGAGTAAAACTCTGTGACTGCTTATACAAGCTGTAAAAGTGTATACATAATAACACTAATGCTGAAGCAATACTGTTTAGCTACAATATAACAGTGTATTCCCAAGTAATAGAAGTGATACTATATTATATATCACTAATAGCTGTAACAAGAGGGGGGGAGATAAGACAACTGCTAAACCAGTGCTGTCAATAGTTAAAAGATATGGATAAGTAAATCCCTACATGATAGTACAACTAACGACACGGGTTAACTCCACATACAATAATTGATAATGTTCTATGGTGCTTAACCTCGGAAAGATCAAAGATAATGGTTCAGCTAAGACAGATTTCTGACAGACGGCGATTAGCCAGTTAAATATCACAAAAGCTGCCTAGATCATAGCAGCATTTTGATAATAAATTAAAGATTGCTGTCAAGCAGTAAAGTATAAAATAAGGGGTTGCTGACCTTCTGATGAGCTTCACTGGCGAAACGTGCACGTCAGGGGCTCTGGACACTTACTGACACATTATTGGTGTAGGCACCTAACTCTCTGCTTATCTATTGCTAAATTACCGACATCAAGTTCATTCATGTCCAGCATCTCAGGAGTGCATATTGGAGACTCTTAACACTAATTTTGTGTGCTCTGTACATACTTTATTTCTCTTTCTTTTTCCTTTATTATGTTTATGGGGGGAGATTGATAAGACCAGGCATTTTATTAAGGGGTGCCCTCGAAGGCACAAGACTCAGGAATCTTTATTCTATATGCCTTCCTCTGTCACTGTCTGTATATTTTCTACTACCTAGGCAACCTGTTCAAAAAACTGTTTGTAAACCCTCTCTTTATACTTTGACCTATTATTTAGATGCAGCTAGCATTTAGGCAACTTGTGTGATTTTTAACCGGTTAACTGCTACTACTTTGTGCTCCACTGTGGTCAAGCATAAGTTAACATCATTCAGTGCAGGCAGCTGTTGTTACACTAGAATATACTGCTAGGCATCTTGCAGAAAAAACGAAGCCAGGTCAGCAACCCCTTATTTTATACTTTACTGCTTGACAGCAATCTTTAATTTATTATCAAAATGCTGCTATGATCTAGGCAGCTTTTGTGATATTTAACTGGCTAATCGCCGTCTGTCAGAAATCTGTCTTAGCTGAACCATTATCTTTGATCTTTGTGAGATTAACCCCTTTAGACCGGAGGGCGTACTATTACGCCCTCTAATAGGCGGCTCTAAACGCCGCCGGGCGTAATAGTACGCCCTCCGGTCTTTCGGTACTTACCCGGTCGCCGGCGGTCCAACGCCGGCGGTCCCACGCCGGCGATCGCGGTGGGGGGGACTCCCAGGGAGCCCCCCGCGGCAAGTCCGTCCTCCAGGAAGCCCCCCGGCCGTGTGAGAGTGGAGTCCTTGCGAGGACCCCACAATCACATGGCCGGGGATAGCTGGCTTCTGCATTGCCAGCAGGGGGGCTGCCTGTAATGACAGGTGGTCCCCTTGCTGGCTGAAAATAAAAGTAAAATAAATAAATAGTGTAAAAAAAAAATTATATATACTTAGATCATATATATATATATATATATATATATATGATCTAAGTATATATATATATATATATATACACACATATACATACACACACGTACACCGTCTAGGTGTATTTTACTATATATATATATATATATATATATATTTTAATATCAAATTACACGTAGGCTGATACTGATTAAATATATATATAATTATTGTTATATATATATTTATATATATTATAAAAAAAATTAAAATGTAAATACGTTAAAAAATAAAATTAAAAAAATAATTAAAAATAAATAATTAAAAAATATATAGATGTGTGTTATTTCGTTCTAACTGTATTGTGAAATTAATATATATATATATCAAAATACACGTAGAATGAAATATATATATATACATAAATATATACGTATATATCACTATATATATACCTATATATAAATAAAAATATTTCTTTAAAATTATATAGATATATACATATATACACATACGTATATATATATATATATATATATATATATATATATATATATATATATATATATATACATACATATATTAATTCTACATATATATTTATGTATTATTTTTACATAATTAGGTATCTTAATTAAAATTAGCAGGACCTGCCTGACAACCCATGCCGAAAGTAAAGGGAATTTAATTTGCTAACACTATATTTAACCCTATAACTTACAAAACAGTAAAATGTATTACAACGATGATATCGCCAGTAAAAGTGATGCTTTTTGCATTTTTCACGCACAAACAGCATTACACAGACAATATTATTGCTGTGATACTTTTTACTGTTTTGAAACACAAATATTTGTGTTCAGCGAAGTCTCCTGAGTACAACAGTACCCCTCATGTACAGGTTTTATGGTGTTTTCAAAACTTACAGCGTCAAATATAAGGCTTGCGTTTCATTTTTTTCACATTAAAATTTGCCAGATTGGTTACATTGCCTTTGAGACCCTATGGTAGCCCAAGAATGAAAATGACCCCTATGATGGCATACCATTTGCAATAGCAGACAACTCAAGGTATTGCAAACAGGGTATGTCCAGTCTTTTTTAGTAGCCACTTAGTCACAAACACTGGCCAAAATTGGCGTTTTTTGCATTTTTCACACACAAATACTAACGCTAACTTTGGCCAGTGTTTGTGACCAAATGGCTACTAAAAAAGACTGGACATACCCCATTTGCAATACCTTGGGTTGTCTACTATTGCAAATGTTATGCCATTATGGGTGTAAATTTCATTTCTCGGCTACTATACAGTCTCAAAGGCAACGTAACCAATCTGGCGAATTTCAATTTCAAATGTAACGTGCTATATTTGACCCTGTAACTTCCCAAAACGCCATAAAACCTGTACATAGGGGGTACTGTCTTACACGTGAGACTTTACTGAATACAAATGTGTATTTTATTGCAGTAAAAGCAAACGGTATTATGACACTGACCGTTAAAATGTCATGTAGAACGAATTTTTTTTTTTTTAAATCGTATTTTCTCCCATTTTTTTCATATTAAATTATGTTTCATAGCTAAATATTTGATATTGAATGAAAGCCCTGTTTCCCCTGAATAAAATGATATATAATAAGGGTGGGTGCATTTACTATGAAAGAGGTGTATTACGGTTGGACAGACATGTAGCGCAAATGCCAGGTTTTGTTTACATTTTGTTTTGTTAACAACGTGTACATTTGGCTCCGTCCTTAAGGGGTTAAGCACCATAGAACATTATCAATTATTGTATGTGGAGTTAACCCATCTCGTTAGTTGTACTATCATGTAGGGATTTACTTATCCATATCTTTTAACTATTGACAGCACTGGTTTAGCAGTTGTCTTATCTCCCCCCCTCTTGTTACAGCTATTAGTGATATATAATATAGTATCACTTCTATTACTTGGGAATACACTGTTATATTGTAGCTAAACAGTATTGCTTCAGCATTAGTGTTATTATGTATACACTTTTACAGCTTGTATAAGTAGTCACAGAGTTTTACTCGCTGTATAGTCTCCATTTACTCCTGCTGTTCATATTTTTCTTTTTTATATTTTATTTTAGATTTATTTATTAAAAGTTACTTTTAAATCTATAATCTTCAAAGTAAATCATACACAGGTAGAATGGCATTTGTTTCTTTTTTTGTTTATTCTCTATAAGAATAAGAGGAGTTCCAGAGTCAGTCCTACATGATCAGCTTGGTCAATAGCAAGATCCTTATTCTTTACACTAATGCCATCTCATCATCTAGAAGAATATCCTTATGAAAGATTTAATCATCTATGTAAACCTAAAAATATCCTCTTGACTTCTCCTAGGGACATTGTCAGATTCTTAATTGGCTTTACTAAGAACCTTATTATGCAAGCCGCTCAGAAGACATCACTTCAAGATTCACAATATCAAGCCAGAAGAAAGCTTTGGTGACCTAACATTAACCTTTAGATCTAATAATATTCATTATAAATGTAATTTTCCAGTTGCCTTGATGGTGTCCTATCAAAGTACAGTCCTTCTTCTTCAAAGATCCTATTTCGGCAAATAAATTACTCAAACTTGGCAATTACATAACTGAAGAATTGTATTTAGTTTTTTGTTTGTTTGTGATTCTTTTCCGTTAATTGAAATGTTGATTATCTAAAATTTCTATATTGCAGTTTTGCTATTAAGAAACACAAAGTCATGGATATAGTTTAAACTCTATATACTGAGGTACTTTAATTTTTTATTTTTTTTATATGTGTTATATTGATATTTTAGTTGAAGATACCTATATGATTCACTAATTTCTGCTAAATTTAAAATAAGCTAAAATTATTATTTTTACTCACTTATAAAAATAACACTTAATATTTATAATGTTAAGGCTTAGTAATACACTCTTACTATAATGTTGATATTTAGACACTAGAGGTTATACATGTAAACTGAATTTCTACATCCATGTACTTTAATATTTTTTTTTCTACCTGCAATCTTGATAATTTAAGATAATTCTGATTGTGTGAGTAATTTTCTGTATAGCATTTTCCTTAAGCAAGATTATACATAGAGCATTATTTTCTTTTCTATATTTTTTTGGGGGGGGGTTATTTGGACCTCACCTTGTTGTGAAGTTGAGCTACAATACCACCATATATACCTGGATTTGAAAAACTTGGTGTGCTGCTTTCTCCACAGATATTGACTGTATTTATTGGATATTGCAACTGCGTGCGATTATCTTGCAAGTAGTACCCCACTTATACCTTTTGGACTTTTTAAAAATTGTTTTAAGTTCAAGATATCTTGGCCTGTGAATTAATTCTGAGTGGTTTATCATATTTTATAACTTTGGCACAACCTTTTATATTGTTGTTTTGTTGCTCATAGTTTTGGGGGCAAGAGGAAACCCCATATCCTGAGGAATGCTACCTCTAGTCTTTTGTCTGGTTATTCAGCGCTGATCCACTTTTCTTTTTCACTTTGTATTAATGCACTTTAATATTTATTTTTTGTTTGCACTTCAATTCCTCTAGCTGCAATGTTGCTTATTTAAGATACGAAGTCTTAAAGAGATATATATATATATATATATATATATATATATATATATATATATATATATATATTTGTGTTTGGGGCATTCTCATATGATATAAAATTAGATGGGTTGTAGAGTAGAGATGTCACGAACTGTCCGCCGAACTGTTCGCGAACTGTCCGCCGGCGAACAATAGCGTGTTCGCGTTGGGCGAACATATCCGATTTCCGGTCCGCCCCCTATACGTCATCATTGAGTAAACTTTGACCCGGAACATCACAGCCAGCAGACACATTCCACCCAATCAGCAGCAGACCCTCCCTCCCAGGAAGTGTCTGCTGACTGTGAGGTTCCGGGTCAAAGTTTACTCAATGATGACGTATAGGGGGCGGACCGGAAATCAGATATGTTCGCCCAACACGAACGCGCTATTGTTCGCCGGCGGACAGTTCGGTGGACAGTTCACGACATCTCTATTGTAGAGATGTAGCTTTAGGAATAATCAGTTGAGGTGTGCTGAAACCGACGTATGCTGTAGGCTGGTAAAAAGTGGGCAAAAAGAGACATATTAATGCAAAACATTATACAGGATCATAGTGCATTTGTTAACCATCAGGTATACATTTTAATGAAACCTTCCTAATTCCTGAATCGGCTGTGGTATGTAAGTCACATAAGCCTATGATTCTCAGCGGCCCCGTGTCTTAACGTGTGCGGGGATGTCTTGGCTATAGGCCGTGGAGGCTGCTCCTATCCTAAAGGAGTTCCCTGAGTAGTCGCAAGGATTTAGTTCGAGCCCGGTGAATGAGTAGGTGGACATAGTGCATGAACTTACCTGTGGTAAGGACAGTATCATACAGCGACAGTAATGGTTCAGTGGTGCGTATGGTGGCGTGCCCAAGGATGCAACCAGTACCTTAACCGGTCATCCAGCATTGCTTGTAAGGTAGTAGGTTATATGCACTGGCTCGCCATTCTGACATGTCAAAGTTTTAGGAAGGGACTGGACATAGTGGTCTGTGTGTTTTAGAAGATAAGAGGTCAACAGGCACTGTTGTTTATGATGTTGGCCGCTGATAGTGAGTTATTTTTTAGCCTGAGAAAGCCGTTAAAGGCTAGATAGGTAGCAGTTTTGATAACTGCATGGCTCGGAAGGTGCATGGCCGAGTAGTTCTGACATGGTTTGAACATTGTATGTCTATGGCCAGTATTTCGTTTTAGTGGGAAAGTCCGCTTGGCTATGTCTCTAAGTAAGGTATGGAGGGGGTAGGAGGATAGGAACCCTTGTTGTTTGGGAAGGAGAAATACATATAGTGTTGAATGCCCGTATGATAAGTTTAACTGTGTTGTGCGATAATTTTTAACTTAAGGTGGCAAAAGGAGGTGGAGGCCATAAGTAGTGAAACCTCAAACCAGCTATCTAAGTGATGGTCCGACAAACGTATTGTATAAGTGGAAAACCCTGTTGCAAGCGTGTTGAGTTCTGGTGGACAAGGCCAGTTTTGTCAGAGCCCAGCTATGTTGGTGAGGTTCATGTAATCCATGACCTTGACCATAAATGACCCCCCTGCTATGGCGGCTGTCACGGCATCTGCCACAATAGTTTACCATTACGTGTGGTTAAGAAAGTCCACCATATGTTAAGGTCTGCCGTGGCTTGGTTGTCTAGGGACAGCACCTGATCATCATGCGGGAGTGTGGAAAAAGCAAAGTGGTCTTAGATGAAAGTGCGGCCTGCGGTATGTTGTGCATGGCAAAATTTAAGGAACCTGGTAGGGATTGTAGTTCCATTCAGTTGCAATACCAAGCAGGAAGTGGTAATTTGGTGTTGTTGCGACTGTTCCTATTTCTCACGTGGTAACTTGTTGGCATGGATGCAGAGTCAAGTTGTGTGCCCAGGAATGTAACTATAGTGTCTGGGTCTTCTGTGACCTTAGGGAATACTGGGTCACCCAAGTGTTCAGACATACTAATGGCTTCCTTGAAGCTTCTAGAGGGAAAGGCGTTCCCTTTGACCAACAAGAAATCATTTCGTAAGTGTATGACTGTGGGGCATCTGGATATGTTTAACCACAACCAGCAAAGAGTTCATCAAATATATTGAAGATTGTGAGCTGCTCTTGACCCGAAAGTCAAGCGGGAGAAGAAATATATAACTGCTGCCCATAAATGGATGGTGGCAGTCTGAAATGCGTTTGTGATATCAGTTTTACTTAACCAGGCTTCCCCCCCTGCTTGAGTGATAGCTGTAATGGTATGAACAATGGTGGAATACTGTAATGAAAACTCCTCGGAGGGTATGAGGGAGTTGAGACTTGGGGTAGCCAAGGCGTGAGGTGCAGATAAGTCTATGATCAGTTACAGTGTGAGGGAAGATTCCCTGTGACAATCCCAATGGGATTGTGCCACGCTGTAAATCGTAGAGGCCCAGGTAGAAATCTTTCTGCCATTTCTTGGGCCATGAGTGTAATGCCAGCTGTTGGATGCTGCTGTGATGACTGCAAGTTAAGGCATTCTAGATTCCCCCAAAAGTATATGGCAATACCTGTACGGAAGGCCTTTAAAATTCAGAGATTAGGAAATCAACTAAATGTCTGGAAGGGTGATGAGTTAGAAAGTACTGGAAATGCATAATGTTTACAGACGTGAAGTAAGGTACAGGGTACATTTATTGGGACACATGGTTTGCATGTGCCCTGAAATATTGAGAACATATCTGCAACAGTCTGCATGCACTGAAACTACATGTGCCAACATGGAAATTGTTGCAAATCTGGGATTTGCCAAAGAGAATGAGATGACCCAATTTGTCTCTGGTAGTTCTCTATGTACTACCAGAAGTTCTAGAGCCTGGAGCCTGAAACGTGATCGTCCGCTGTGTTGGGACAAAATTGTCGTGTGGGACTAGCAACATCTTCTCCAAGTGAAAGTGTGTTGACTCTAGCTGGAGTGTTAGGTAGAGAGAAAAATCCTTACCACCTGCTTGATACATACTAAAAACATGAAGATAGCCATTATTATATGAACCCACAGTGACTTGCTAGCTAAAGCCGCATGGCGAAACAATTAATCCATTGTTTGGTGACAGGTGAGGCCCTGCTAGTTGCCAAGTGGCTTGAGAGGCTCCATCCATGCAATGGCGCAAGGGGATTTTTGTGGCCACCAAACATATTGGCAGGATGTTGGCCTCTCGGTGACTGTAACCAGAAAAAAGGGGAAGGGAGTGACAGGTGAGGCCCTCTCTATATACCATGCGAGGTGGCTAGCTCACGAGTGGCCCGATGGGTGTTTGCCTCCGAGCGTTGAGGCGGGGTGTTGGCCTCGCGGGACCACTATACAACAGGCGTAGATGCCAAGAAAGGAGAATACCTATGAGAAACCTATAGTTCCTAATTGCCAGTACGCTAAGGATATACCCAGGGGGAAACAGAAAATGTATGTATAAACCACATGAGCAGGTGTATGTACCTGGTAGTATGATTAGATACCCTTACTGGTCGTAAGGGTTATTAAAACCTGTGTCCCGGACGGGTAAAACAATGTATGAAAATTGAATAAAGACATTTAAAAGCGTATACCCATATGTGTGTTATGCAAGTTTAATAGAGCAAAGTGCTCCATCCCAATGTTTATTGTATGCTTGTAATGCCCCTGTTTGAAGGAAATTAACAAGTCGGGAGTGTTATATCATGTGTGATATGGAATACTACGGTACCCTGAAACATGAGTGTAGTGAAGGATGACTGGCAGCTGAATAACCTAATATGTGAAAATACGTAATTGGAAGGACTTATATTTTAAGTGTGCAAACATGCAAATATTCTGTATTAGACTCTGAAATCCTGCATAGTGCTTTAAATAGTATGTGCATTCTTGGGTAAATGTATGTGTATTGTCAGCAAATGTAACTAAATGCCTATGTAGGCAGGTATGCAGGAAAGATTATATCATAGCAAGCATGAGTTGTAAGGAAGTGTTATTGTGTAATTATAATTTTAGTGGGAATGTTATGAGGGGAATAACCATATGTCTGAAAAGCCTGTAGTAGACAGTTTGACAGATAGGAGTCAGTATAACAGCGAAAATGCTATAGTTTGTTTGCTTATGAAGTGAAATAAAGTCTGAGAAGCCTGTAGTATACCGATTGACCAGTAGGGGTCAGCATGTAGGCGAAAATGCAGTGGTTCGTTTGTTTGTACATGAAATTCAATAATGTCTGAGAAGCCTGTAGTACACTGAATGACCGGTAGGGGTCAGTGTGTAGGCGCAAATGCAGTGGTTCATTGATTTGTACATGAAATGCGATAATGTCTAAGAAGCCTGTAATACTACAAAAGACCGGTAGGGGTCAGTGTGTAGGCGGAAATGCAGTGGTTCATTGATTTGTACATGAAATGCAATAATGTTTGAGATGCCTGTAGTACACCAAATGACCGGTAGGGGTCAGTGTGTAGGCGCAAATGCAGTGGTTCGTTGGTTTGTACATGAAATGCAATAATGTTTGAGATGCCTGTAGTACACCAAATGATCGGTAGGGGTCAGTGTGTAGGCGCAAATGCGGTAGTTCATTGGTTTGTACATGAAATGCAATAATGTTTGAGATGCCTGTAGTACACCAAATGACCGGTAGGGGTCAGTGTCTAGGTGAAAATGTAGTGGTTCGTTAGTTTGTACATGAAATGCAATAATATCTGAGAAGCCTGTAGTACACTGAATGACGAGTAGGGGTCAGTGTGTAGGTGAAAATGCAGTGGTTTACTGGTTTGTACATGAAATGCAAAAACGTCTAAGAAGCCTGTAGTACACGAATGACCGATAGGGGTCAGTGCGTGGGTGAAAAATGCAGTGGCTCGTTGGTTTCTACATGAAATGCAATAATGTCTAAGAAGCCTGTAGTATACCAAAAGACCGGTAGTGGTCAGTGTGTAGGCGAAAAAAGTTGTATTTCGTTTGTAGTTTTAACCGAATAGATTTTAACCAAAACAGATTTTAAACAACAGATTTTACATGAACAGCTAGGTGAGTATAAGGAAACGAAATAACCATGCAAAACGAAAGGAAACCGTGAGGACCCATGCTGTCCTGGCGCAATAGGTGAGTCAACTTACGGTTTGAGAGTCCCTGAGACACCAAATGCGATGCTGACCGGAGAGAAAGCCACTGGATTAACAGAAAGCCCTGCTGCAGGATTCCTGGACACAGCTTGGAGTAGGAGACCTCATGGAGCAGAGGTGAAACCAAAATGGCGTCTTGTATGACCTGGAAGTGGATCTCATGCAAATGCTGACCTTGAACAGTCTATTCGTCTGACCAACAAAGGTAAGTACACACAGGTATTTTACACTCTCCAAAAGAAAGCCAGCACCCAAGGACTTCAACATTATTTTTACTATTTATGACACCCCACTCCCTCCCCTTCTCTAACATCAGTTTTTTTAAGTGGTAAACTCTATCAGATTGATTAGTATTGCTTCAGACCTGAAGAAGAGAGGAAAGCTCTCGAAAGCTTGTCTTTTAACTATTACGTTAGTCCAATAAAAAAGGTATCATTACTCTGGTATTTTGGCAATATATATATATATATATATATATATATATATATATATATATATATATATATATATATATATATATATACACACATACATATATATACACACACATATACATATACACACACACACACATACAAACATACATACATACTCTCCAAAAGAAAGCAAGCACTCAAGGACTTCAACATAAAATATGTAGGCTTTAATCCAAGCAGTAAGTCAACGTTTCAGTTCACTACAGTGAACTTTCCTCAGGACATAAACAGCGTATATTAAAGCATTTTTAAGAAAAACTAACTTACCCAACCTCCATCACCTATGTGCTGGCGTCGACTGCTCCCCTGTGCACATGCATGCGATCAGGCTCCTCCTCCTGTGATTTTGATAAAATCTAGCATTTTGGATTTGATCTTCAATTCAAATATAGCTTCTATTGTTTTATCAGATCACTCTCCTGTTTTCATTAATATTGAAGGTAATTCAAATTTTAAATTAAGAAATAGATTAAAGTTTACTTGCTAAAGATATTAACATTTTAGAAATTGCTTCTGATTTGAACAAATTTATGTTAATAAATGTTAATGGAGAAGTCCTAATATCTACAGTTTGCTGTACATTTCAAAGTTATGCAAGTGGCTTATTAATAAAAAAGGGCTCTAGACTTAAGAAAAAAAAGAAGCCTCACTTTCTGAACTGTACATTAATATATCTGAAAATGTAAGAATTAACCAGACAAATCAGGAAAATTGAGAGATTAAAAAGGTATTAAGATTAAAACATTTGAGAATATTAATAAGTCTATTCTATTTCTCAAACAAAAATGGTATCACAACAACAATAAAATCAGTGAAGTCCTTTCAAATAGGTTAAAATAGGTTTACAAAAGATTAGACTATTAAAACAATTTTGTTTGGAGACAAAATGTCTGACAACCCCAAAATATATGTTTTAAACCTTTTGATTTGTATGCATCGCTTTATCATTTGGAAGAGGTTGATGCCACTACTGAAGAAACAGTTAACTACCTGGAGAGTTTAGATTTACCTAAGATTTCACAAGAAAAACTCAATAAATGCTCCTTCTACAATCTCAGAACTTAGTAATATGATGAAAAACCTTAAAACTAATAATACTCCAGGTCCAGGTGGCTATACAGCTATATTCTATGAAAAAAATATCTACTTTTAGAAACATTTTTGGACTATGTTGATTGTTTCTATAATTTCGATCCCTAAGCCAGGGAAAGATTCCACTCTTATGGTTAATTATAGACCAATTTCTCTAACCAATATGGATGCTAAAGTTTTTTTCACAAATTCTTTCTGATAGGCTGAAATTGTGTAAGCCCACTTGTACTTACCTTAGCGGTCCGCCGATCTACTGACGCTGAGATCCAGCAGACTGCCGCTCCCACGCAGAATGAGGCTCCAATCAGCCTCGTAGACGCTGTCCGCTGTGTGCCTGCCCCCTTTTATGATGTGGCACACCCGTGCCAGTGTCATGATGTCAGTGGAGCTCTAATCAATAGAGCTTAGCACACTTGCACGTTTTGTGGGCATGGTTATGTGAAAAATGGAACTAGAAAAGGATGCCCATATGCTCCTCTACTTTACATCCTTACCATAGAATCTTTAGCAATATTGATTAGGAAAAAAAACAGAGATCCAGGGTCTAAAAATAGCTCGAAGAGTTGCTTCTAACCTTGACGAACCCTTTGATTTCAATACCACAAGTTCTGAATGTTCTCAAACTTATAAATTCTCTAATATAAGATTTATTTTCTAAAAAAACCCTCAAATCTTAACATCAAGTTTGACAACAAACAAGATTGATATTCTTAAAAGTTATTATCATTTTGATTGAAATAGAGCAGTGATGGCTAACCTTGACACCATAAATTGTTTCTGGACTACATCTCCCATTATGCTCAGTTAGCTTTTAGACTCTAAAAGCTAGCTGAGCATCATGGGAAATGTAGTCCAGAAACAATTTATGGTGTCAAGGTTAGCCATCACTAGAATAGATAATACATTGGATACTTTGGAATTAAACTTTCTTTCAATATACCCAAATCGATTCAACATAACTATGAAGTATTGTATAAAACATTTAAAAAACAACTAAATAATTGGAGAAAAATTGAGATTTCATGGTTGTGGCATTTGAATATAGTTAAAGCTTATTTAATGCCTAAGCTATTATATGGTTCATTACCATTTATACTTAACAATTAGTCAATGTCAGACCTTATTCTCTAAATTCATCTGAACCAATAAACAACCTAGAATCTTTCCAAAATATTCTACAAAAAAGTCTATGCTAGAGGAGGAAGTTAATTCCCAGACATTATTAAACTATATGATGCCTGCATAATTTCAAACCTAATGCTATGAAATAATTGAACATTCAAGATAATGCTTGGTATGCCATTGAACAAGATACCTGCCCTTAATATAAATTATATGATATATATTGATCAGATTTGTCCAAGAGTAAAAAACTAAATGTTCTTCCAAACAGAATAATTGAAGATATGTTTCTTACTTTGAATTTGCTAAAAAAAAAAAAAAAAACTAGAATTAAATAATAGTATTTCTTCAATAGCGTCAATAGATATGTCGCAATATAATATCATTAAAGTTAATATTTGTAACTGGAAACAATGTGGTATCTCTAAAAATATAGTATTATCTCTTGTGACTTTTCCTGTATTACAATCAAAATATAATTAACCTTCAAGAGAAATGATCATTTAAAGAATTAAAAAAGTTCCAAATTGATATTATTTTATAATTTTCTTAATTCTTTTATGGAAAAAAATGGGATTTAAAGCTTGATTTCCAGATCTATTTATCTTTTAGATAGCAATGAACCTACAACTAAAATCCCTTCTAGTTTAAAATGGGAAAATTACCGTAAAATTTCCTGTCTTCTGTATCAATCAACACTTTAAATAAAGCGAAAAAGTTGCTTAAATATGCTTTACAGGTGGTTATAGTGAAATTGCATACAATTTCAAATATTAATTCACCTATTTGTTGGAGATGCAAGAGAGCTATAGGAACCAAGTACATATATTGTAGAATTGTGACATGCTAGAAGAAATTAAAAATCTATTCTTTTCCTCACAAATTTTATTAATTTAAGGAACAGCATAGGTTAAAAAAAATGCATAGCCTTCCCCTCCTCCCACCCCCAAGATGTACTCAATTTAAATTACACCATACAGACACTAGAACATACATATAATATGTACTACCCACTGTAAACGTCTTCCCCTCTATCCCCTGTAAGCTCTACTCTCCTGGTATATCCTGCATATCCTAGGTGGGGATAATACCCCCAACGCTCTTCATACCAGAGCAGGCCATTGCTCTGCATATTGCAAGTAGGATACCATTTTTTATCCTTTACTTTGTGTGTGTGTGTGTGTATGTATATATATATATATATATATATATATATATATACACACACACACACACACACACACACACACACACACACACTATACCATAAGACCTTTCTATTGTGTTTTCTCATATATACTGGACGGAAAGAACTATCAAACAAAGCTACAAATATCCATAGACAGGGCTTGTACCATCCAGGCACATTACAGCAGAGCTCTTAGCAACATTGTCTATTGTGAGTTTGCACACTATATTTCTACCTCAAAGTTTAAATAACTGTTACATATTGCACTATTGTTTGTCCATTTCTGTTTCCTACAAGGTTTCAGAAACCATCCTACCTTATCGTATGTAGATTGAATCTACTGATGTAATTATATTTTTTATGTTATATATTTCTGCTATATCTTATTGCTGTTGAGGTGCAGTCTATCACCTTGCTTGTTATCAGTTTTGTCAGTGAGATTTTGGGAATTCTAGCAGATTTACTGCTGCCCACCAACCTACCTTGTTTGTAGTGAGAGCTTAGTCCTATCTCTATCTGTTACAACTTACCAACAAGTAACTTACATACACCCTGTTCCAAATTATTATGCAAATTATATTTCTCATTTACCTAAATAACTGATGTAAAAACCAGTCAGCATAATTCTCATGTTATCAACTATTAAGAGTACAATTCAAATTTTATTGAACAAACCTCCGATGTCAGAATAGCCTCCCAGAGCTGCTGTTTGGATGTAAACTGCCTCCCACCCTCATAGATCTTTTGCTTGAGGATGCTCCAAAGGTTCTCAATAGGATTGAGGTCAGGGGAGGATGGAGGCTGTGGCGGAACAGGCCTCGCCACTTGTTCTTGGAGGGGGCTGCTTGCCTGCCTCCTACCTTCTGACTATGGCCCTGGGATATATGGCATTTGAAAACTCTATTTGTGCCCTGTGACAAAACTGGAGATTGTGCACAAATATGACTATTGTCCATATTTTTTATGATTACCTTCATTGTTGCACTGTTCCCCATGTGTTTAATCTGTTGGTCCGGCTGGATAGACTACCAGACAAACTGTGGAGTTACTGGGCGGCCACCATTTCATCTATCAGAGGCACATGGTGAGAACAATGGATGATTTTAACTCACAGACACTGTTTGGACTTTTCTACACAATGCCATCTCGCCGGTATTTGGTGCACAAAGACATTGTGCAGTAGTTTTAAACAATACAACAGGGGACACATTATACAGTAATTATTTTCCATATAGCCTGTACATGTTCTGCGGAATCTGCACTAAACTGTATCTCCCAGACTACTGAATGGATCTGAGTGAATTTTGGATATGTGGTTCACCCAGATCCCCCGGTTCCGATGATATACTTTTTATATTTTTATGGTGTTATTGCATGTTTTGGGCTCCCTGTGATATGTTTTATAATACTGTATTGCTCTGCCTGTGATAATTATATTAACCATTGTGTTCAGTAATCATATCACAGGCAGAGGGGAGGATTTTGTGTGGGAGTGTCTGTGTGTATTATACGGATTGATTGGTTGTATTTCAAAACCCTTTGGTCAGTACTATGTTTGTGGATTGTGAATAAAAGAGGCTGTATGTGCCAGTACAGTCAGTTCTGCTTGACCTCAAAACGAAGTGTCGTCTCGTTATTGGGGGAATTGGATTGTATGCTGATTGCCAGGAGTGTAAACTGATTGTATGCTTTTCCTGTTCAGCTATTTACAGCATTCATATGCTTGAGAGCATTCGTATGCTTCTCCGGTTTGGTGGTTGTGGTGTCTGCTGCAGTGCTTGGAGTCCTCAGGAAGCGCTAGGAGCATCCTTCAACGGAGGTACCCAGTCGGAGTGCCAGGTGATCCATTACAGAGGTCACACCATAACTTTCCCTCTTTTTATCCCCACAGCAGCCATTGATGCAGAGGTATTCTTTGCAGCATGAGATGGTGCATTGTCATGCATGAAGATAATTTTATTACGGAAAGCGTAGTTCTTCCTTCTGCACCAGGGAAGAAAGTGGTCAGTCAGAAACTCCACATACTTTGCAGAAGTCATCTTTACGCCTTCGGGGACCCTAAAGGGGCCGACTAGCTCTCTTCCTATGATTCCGCACCAAAACATGACTCCACCACCGACCTTGCTGCCGTCGCAGCCTTGTTGGAACAGGGTGGCCGTCCACCAACCATCCACTACTCCATCCATCTGGACCATCCAGGGTTGCACGGCACTCAGTGAACAGGACTGTTTGAAAATTAGTCTTCATGTATTTTTCTGCCCAATGCAGCTGTTGTGAGCATTGGTTAGTGGTGGCCGAATAGAAGGTTTATGCACAGTTGCAAGACTCTGGAGAACTCTACACCTTGATGACCATGGGACTCCAGAGGCACCAGCTTCAAATATCTGTTTGCTACTATGTAATGGTATTTTAGCAGCTGCTCTCTTGATCCGATGCATGGATCTGGCAGAAATCTTCCTTAATGTGCCTTTATGTTACGCTACTTGGGGTGATTTGGATTGGAACTCAACTGCAGCTTGTAAACCTCCCTAATTACATTAGTGAAGATACAGAGAAACTTTAAAGTATCAATACTGTAGCTTTAAGAAAAGAGGGAATCGCTGGTAACTTGATTCAAACGAAGTTTTAATAAGTGTTAAACTTAAATGAATTGCATTTACGCAATAATCCAATAAGAAGAAGTGCAAGTAATCAACAACACAAAGTTCATTAATAAGTACTTCCTCAGAGAAGCATTAAGTAAAATTCTATGGTTAATGAGAATAATCTTCAACAGAAACATTAAGCAAGTAGCTGAGAATATTTGCAAAACAAGAACAGTCCATAGTTAATAAGCATAATGGGAGTTGTCCTCCATATAATTAGTAGCTTGAAGCACTGAGTGTATTTGCAAAGCAAGAAACAGTTCATAGTGAATAAGCATGATGGGAGTTGTCCTCCATATAATTAGTAGCTTGAAGTAGTGAAGATTTGAGTAAGCAAGCATAAGTTCATTATTAAATGAGATTGCAGCATAAATTCATTATTAAATGAGATTGCAGACAAATAGATGAAAGATATACTTAAGGTTAATATGAGTAGTCCTCCAATAGTTCAGAGATAAGGTCCACTTGTAAAGTAAGTGAGTTTCCGTTCTCCAGCAATCCTCTATGACATGAAGTATACTTGTCTAGCCCAGAAGGCTAGGACGACTTCAGAGCTTGAAGAGGCGGCGTGTCCCAGGAGCCGGCGTGCATACTCGGAAGTAGGACCCACATTGCCAGAACCTGTGGAGAGGTAAGACTGGCGGAAGTAGCTCCCAGTATCACCAAGCACCCTCTCTCTGGTGCAGTCTCCCTAAATACCGTCAGAGCTGCGTCAGAGGGGGGCGGGGTCCAGCTCCGCACAGCGGAGTGCCGAACCCAGAAGTGTCACCGCATGACAGGACCCCCCACCTAAGGAGCACACTCCGGGTGCTATTATCTCGATTTTTGAGGGAATCTTCTGTGAAAGGCAGTAATCAACTTCCTTGCATGTATTTCAGAGGAATTCTCCCAGGTGTTATCTTCTTCTCCATAACACTTCCATTTAATAAGGTACTGCAAGTTACCTCTATGAAGTCTGGAGTCAAGAATTTTGTCTATTTCATATTCCAATTCTCCTTGTACTTCAATGGGGTCAGGCCTTGACAATTGTTCCCTCTGGAAGGGATCTGGAAGAAAAGACTTAAGGAGTGAAACATGAAAAACAGGATGAAGTTTAAGTGATGGAAGTTTCAATTTCACAACATTTTCATTTATAATAGATTCAATTTGAAAAGGTCCAAAAAAAAGAGGACTTAGTTTCTTAGAAGGACGGTTAGTAGAAATATTTTTCGAAGACAACCAAACAGTGTCACCAATTTTATATTTAGGAGGAGCTCTCCTTTTAACATCATAATTGCGTTCATATAAGGACATAGAACTTTCAAGGTTTTTCTTTAATTGCTTGAATAATGAGGACATTTCCATATTTTGAGACAAAACCATTGGATTAGAAGTTATCTTTGGAGTATCAGGAAACAAGGAGGGATGGAATCCATAATTTGAAAAGAATGGAGTCATTTTGCTGCTTGAATGTATGGAGTTATTATAGGCAAATTCAGCCATTGGTAACCAATTACTCCAGTCATCTTGTAAATACATACAGTAACAATGAAGGTATTGTTCCAAACATTGATTGACTCGTCCTGTTTGGGGATGGTATTCTGAAGAGAGTTTACATTGGATTTGAAGTAAAGAACACATTTCTTTCCAAAAACGTGAAGTAAATTGAGAACCTCTGTCTGAGATTATTTCTTCAGGGAATCCATGTAATTTGATTATATTGTCAATAAAAACTTTGGAAAGTTCAGAGGATGAGGATAACCTTTTCAAAGGAACGAAATGTGAAATTTTTGTGAAACGGTCTACGACATCAAGGATGGTAGTGAATTTCTGAGAAGGAGGGAGTTCCACCATAAAGTCCATAGAAATAGATTGCCAAGGTCTCTCAGGTACTGGTAATCCAGTCAATAATCCATAAGGAAGGTGACATTCAGCTTTGGACCTTTGACAAACTGGAAAAGACTTTACATAAGTTTCAATGGTTTTGTCTTGACAAGGCCACCAATATTGTCTAGTAGAGAGTTCAATTGTCTTTTTTATCCCAGGATGTCTAGCAAGGGGGGAATCATGAATTAATTTTAAAAAGGTTGTTTCGGAGTTTTGGAGGAATGTAAATTCTATTTTTGAATTAAAAGATTCCATCTTTTTTGAGCAATTTTGGAGTAGAAGGTAGTTCAAGTTCTTTGAGAGATAATTGTTTCAGTTCATTCAATACTTTTATTGTTTGATAATATTGAGAAAGTTTTCTTTCTTGAAGAAGGATTGCAAGGAATTCTGGAAAGAGCATCAGCTTTTTTGTTACAAGATCCAGGTCTTAATTTTTTCCGACTTAATTGAAGTATAGGAATCTGTGGAAGGCAATTATCCTTACAATATTCTGAATCAAAGGTGAGAAAAGGGAGCCCAACGAATGAAGGGATTATGAGTTTGTAACCAGTTGATACCCAAGATGACTGGAAAAAGAGGAGATTTTATTATATCAAAAACAAGAAATTCTGAATGGTTATTATTGACAATTGTCCTGATAGGAATAGTTTCATTTTATATAGGACCAGAAGGGATTAAAGATCCATCAATAACTCTGATGGAGATAAAAGATGCTTTTTTCACATAAGGAATTTTATTGGTTTCAACAAACGAAGAGTCTATGAATATTCCAGTAGCACCAGAATCTATAATAGCTTCAGTCTTGATTCTCTCTTTGTCCCACTGTAAAATTAGAGGTACAGCGAACTGATGAGAGCAGGAAGAAGGAAGTGTTTTCAGAATTGAGGTATTATTTTAAGTTTTCCTCCTTTAGCGCATTTTAATAGATGACATTCTTGCAAAAGATGGTCCTTAGAAGCACAGTACATACAGAGATTTAATTTTCTTCTATAGACAAAGGTCCCCTAGTAAACCCAACTTCCATCGGTTCACTTGGTTGCAAGGGTTTATTAGGCATGCGCAAAGGTGGACTGGGTTTTTTCCAATTTGAAGTAGAGAGAGTCTTTTCAGCTTTACGTTCTCTGATTCTTCTATCTATACTGATAGAGAGTTGAATTAAGGTATCAAGCATTGAAGGAAGCGTAGTTCTAGATAATTCATCTTTAACTGTTTCAGACAATCCTAAATGGAACTGCTTACGTAGAGCTATATCATTCCACTGGGTTTCAGAAGCCCATCTTTTAAATTCAGCTTTATAATCTTCCACTGGATGATTTCTTTGTTGTAATAATCTAATATTAAGATCAGCAGTAGCTTGTTTATTAGGGTCTTCATAAAGTAGTGACATTACTTCAATAAAATTATCTAAAGAATCCGAAATAAGATCTTAATTTTCCAGAAATGAAAGTGCCCAGGACATGGGTTCACACCTTAAATAGGAAATCATTGAACAGACCTTAATCCGGTCTGTGGGATAAGCCCTGGGTTTCAGAGTAAACAACAATTTGCATGAATTCAAAAATTCTCTGTGTTTAGAGCGATCTCCAAACAAATTTTCAGGATTGCAGACAGCAGGGTCACTTGAAAAATATGTAACTTTACTTTGCATTTCTCTTATATAAGAAAGAAGTCTCTCATTAGCAATTTGCAAATCCTGCATGCCTTGAGTGAGAATTTCAACCCTGTGGTTTAAAGAGGTAATTTGGGAATTCACTTCTGCTGGTTCCATTTTGAGGCTTGGTGATTCTGTTACACTACTTGGGTGATTTGGATTGGAACTCAACTGCAGCTTGTAGAACTCCTAATTACATTAGTGAAGATACGGAGAAACTTTAAAGTATCAATACTGTAACTTTAAGAAAAGAGGGAATCGCTGGTAACTTGATTCAAACGAAGTTTTAATAAGTGTTAAACTTAAATGAATTGCATTTAGGCAATAATCCAACAAGAAGAAGTGCAAGTAATCAACAACACGAAGTATTTCCTCAGAGAAGCATTAAGTAACATTCTTTGGTTAATGAGAATAATCAATAGTAACATTAAGCAAGTAGCTGAGAATATTTGCAAAGCAAGAAACAGTTCATAGTGAATAAGCATGATGGGAGTTGTCCTCCATATAATTAGTAGCTTGAAGTAGTGAAGATTTGAGTAAGCAAGCATAAGTTCATTATTAAATGAGATTGCAGCATAAGTTCATTAATAAGTATTTCCTCAGAGAGGCATTAAGTAACATTCGTTGGTTAATGAGAATAATCAATAGTAACATTAAGCAAGTAGCTGAGAATATTTGCAAAGCAAGAAACAGTTCATAGTGAATAAGCATGGTGGGAGTTGTCCTCCATATAATTAGTAGCTTGAAGTAGTGATGATTTGAGTAAACAAGCATAAGTTCATTATTAAATGAGATTGCAGACAAATAGATGAAAGATATATGAGTAATCCTCCAATAGTTCAGAGATAAGGTCCACTTGTAAAGTAAGTGAGTTTCCGTTCTCCAGCAATCCTCTATGACATGAAGTATACTTGTCTAGCCCAGAAGGCTAGGACGACTTCAGAGCTTGAAGAGCCGGCGTGTCCCAGGAGCCGGCGTGCATACTCGGAAGTAGGACCCACATTGCCAGAACCTGTGGAGAGGTAAGACTGGCGGAAGTAGCTCCCAGTATCACCAAGCACCCTCTCTGGCACGGTCTCCCTAAATACCGTCAGAGCCGCGTCAGAGGGGGGCAGGGTCCGGCTCCGCACAGCAGAGTGCCGAACCCAGAAGTGTTACCGCATGACACTTTATCTGCACGAACCCATCTGTGCTCTGAATCAGCCACAAATCTCTTAATAGTGTAATGATAATGCTTACATTTTCGTGAAATATCTAATGTTTTCACACCTTGTCCAAGGATTTGAATTATATCACTCCTTTCGGCAGCAGAGAGATCCTTTTTCTTCCCCATATTGCATGAAAATGGTGCTCTGCTTAATAATGTGGAACACCCTCGTTTAGTAGTTTTTCCTTAAATTGGGCTCATCTAATTATCACAGGTGTCCGAGATTGTTTTCAGTGATCAAAAGAAACCCTGAGACACAATGCCACCCATGAGTTAAACTGAAAAAAAAATATTTAATCTTTGTGACACTTAAATAGAATTTGCATAATAATTTGTAACAGGGTGCAATTAGGAACCCAGAAAGGTCTCCTAAATACAGGAATAATAGGAACATTACTACTCCCAAATTATCCATAAAAAAAAAAAAAAATCCAATCACAGTGTCAACGTGAGTATATATAATTCCTATTTTCCTAAATTCTTAAATACTGATAGAGTAATTTTGTTACACAAGATCTTACTCCCATAATTCTATGTATATAGAATGCCCTGAAAGGTAAATCTACTGTCTAAATATTGGTTTCAGTCTCGGTTCCCCTCTGATGAGCTGTGGGCAAAACGCGCGTGTAAGGGGCTCTCGGTGATCCTGGTAGACAGTTAATGCACTATAACCATTATTAGATTAGGAACTGTTGGTTTATCAAACCAGGATCCCGAGCTAAGATACAGTTATTCAACCGAATATTGATCTGTGATGTAGGGATTTAGGGATAACTATATAGTATCCAGATCGGGTCACAATCTATAATTTATTAGAAATTAGAAAATACTTCTAAGACAATAGACAGCAGACCTTACCAATCGAGCACAGATCTAAATGTATCATTAAACAACCTAGTCATGATTTTGTATTATGAATAACAACAACTGTGTTATCAAAACCTAGGTGATCTTACTAATTGTATGTTGAAACATTATTTTTAACTAACTTGCCATCTTTACTTAGATACCAGGCAGGATAGTAAAACTCACTAATTGAACATAGATCAAATTTATCATTAGTCAGCATAACAATAATTATTTTAGATACCGGGCAGGATAGTAAAACTCACTAATTGAACATAGATCAAATGTATCATTAGTCAGCATACCAATAATTCCTTTGTTCTTAATTCTCACTTTGAGCACAAAAAGCACCACAGAAATCAAATGTGTTCTTTTTCATTCATTTTTTTTATTTTGTAACAATAAAAGTTAAGTTTTAACTTTTATTAGGGTACTCAATTCTTGTCTTTTATTGAAACATTTCCAGTCACCTGGGTTATCCCCAGAAAGAGTGTTATCCCTGTCTTTAAGCTTCCATCCCTCTCTAAATTTGATATTGGTTTCAGTCTCGCTCCAAATTAAGAACCTGCACACAATGCAATCCCTCCTGCCCTCTGGGCCCCAACCTGCATTTCTGTATTCCTTGGAAGGAGAATAGAGATAGGTCCCCCACTGCACATATTCTGAAATGTTTGGACATTGAGGTTTGTTTGGTGAATTCTGTTCTAATGCTATAGATATGTTCAACTATTCTGGTGCTCTTTGTTTGACCTATATATTGTTTCTCTCATTTTTTACAAATTATCAAATACAGTACTCCTTCTGATGAACAGTTGATAAAATCCTTTATTTTATATTTCCTACCTGTGGAGGAGAATGTGTGCTACATGTATGCAATATTTACTCCTTTTGAAGCTACATTTGAACATTCGACATTGTTGTGCCTAATCAAATTCATGAAGCGCGAATATCAAAAAGCAATAATCAATTACCCTAAGGTTTTTAAAGATATTGGTGGGCACCAAAATCCTATTTGGGATGATTGAATTGAGTATTTGAGAAAGGGAAATACACTGATATCAGGTACTTGTAAATAACGAATACAAACTTTATTGATTAACAGAGACTTAATCAATAAGTAATAACAGCTTAAAGAAACAGCTTAAGTATACATCACCATAAGAGAAGCATGCTGTACTCGACTGAAAGAACTTCTGGCAGGCTTGAAGAGATCCCTCTCTTAATGGGAATCAGCAGAACCAGCCATATGCGTCTGTATTACAGGTGGGTAGTACTCCAATGAGTGCCAAGTTTGATCGTCTATTATAAGTTATACATAATCAATGGGATGGATAGTCTCTACTTTTCCACCAAATCTTCTTATCAGTGCAGCCCAGCAAAGACCTTGCAAAAGCGTTGGATGAGACCTGCAGCTGGCCAGGCTGTCCAACCCCACCAAGAATGCTATGACAGATCTGTGAATTTACTTATCTCTTATGTAAACGCTAGCTACGTTCTCATAATATTCTCGTGAAGATATGCATGAGTCACTCTGGTGCTGTGTTTTGTGGTTATTAACATTTTCAGTACTGTGTACCGACGCCATCTTAACTATCTATAAAAGTTTAATTTGCTCAATAGTGATCATTTTTAATTAATATGGAATATTATTATTACGGACATTTCAGAGGATTGTACTGTATTTGTTGCGAAAAGGCTTGGGGACAAAAAAAGTTCCCAATGATTTAGCTTTCCTTGCAGAACTCCTAAATTTTAATTGGCATAATTCCTTCAAATAATTTATCGAATTTCAAAATATATAACAATTTACAGAATTTTTTTTCTAATATAATATAATTTCTAATATAATAGTTTTGTCACTATATAATTTAGTCCACCCAAAATCAGGACAAGCATTGCAGATGAAGAAAACATTCTTCAAGTTCTCCTCCTCTCTGTACGCTTTCTGTGTGCTGACTGCCATGTGATTGACAGTGACAGATGGACAAACGCAGCTGCAGAGTAAAGAGATATGGATTTTAAAATTTACTTTTATTTTTCACACCTCACAAATACATATTTGTAAATTATTGGGATTAGTAAATTTAATATTAATACTCCTGGGACGTAGCAGTTCCCCTTTAACTGTCATTTTAACTTTTGTAATGGTCTTTGTTTCAGTGGGTGGTCGTGTGGACTTTGAGGATTTTGTGGAACTCATTGGTCCAAAGATGTTAGCAGAAACAGAAAATATGGTTGGTGTGAGAGAACTCAAGATTGCTTTCAAAGAAGTAAGTAAGAGCGATGAGCCAGAGAATGAAGCCTTGAAATTATCTCTCAATATCTTATGAAACTTGCTTTTGCCATTCTTACTAACACTTAACAATTCACCTTTCACCTATATTGAAAGTATTTGTATTTAAAACCATGTATGTAGGCTACACTTAACAATTCTCTTGCAAATCAATTTACAATCTAAATCTTATGTAAGGCCTTGCAGAATTATATAGGGTGGTTTGGTGTCTGGATTTGCAATGACCCTGCTTTGATGCATGTACCAAGTTATGCTGTGCACTAAACAGGTATTGATTGTATTGATGCTAAATGTAAATTACTAAATAACTTCACTTTATGAATTTGTGAGAAAGAATGTGAATGTGTGTCTGTCAGTGAGTGTGTGTCAGTGTATTAGTGAGAGTCTATCAATGAATGTCTGTGAGTGAGTGAGTTGATTTGTGTCTGTCAGTGAGGTTGTCTGTTGGTGTGTGTCAAATCGATAAGAGTGTGTGTCTGTCAGTCAAAGTGTGTGTCTGTCAGAGAGAGCATGTGTCTTTCAGTGAGTGAATGTGCCTGTAGATGGGCAGCAAAGGAGCACATGCTCTGCGGTGATGTGATATCATGTCACTCACCACTGCGGTGCATAAAGGAGCAGTGAGGAAGAGCAGGAAGATTAAAGGAGCCACATTAGACCTTAGTGAGGAGATCCCCATTGGACTTTAGGGAGAGAACCCACACCACCTCTTACAAAGGTAGGGAGGCTGGATGTATCTGTCAATGTGTATGTATCTGTCAGGGTGTGTGTCTGTCAGTGAATGAGTATGTTTGTCAGTGTGTCAAATCAGTAAGAGTGTGTCCATCAGTGAGTGAATGTGTCCGTCAGTGAGTGTGTGTGTCAAAGCAGTGAGTATGTGTATGTCAGTGATTGTGTGTCTGTTAGTAAGTAAATGTGTCTGTAAATGAGCTTGTGTGCCAAATCAGTGAGAGTGTGTGTCTGTCAGTGTTTGTATATCTGAGAGTGAGTGTCTCTCTTTTAGTGTATATATACACACATACATACACTGGTGTGTTTGTGCTTGAGTAAGCAAGTGACATTGTGTGTGTTTGTCAGTGAGTAGTGTGCGTGTCAATGTATGTGTGATGTTTTCTTTCTCTCAATTTCTCACTGGTTTATCTGCTTCAGGGCTGCCATCAGAAATTTTGCGGCCCCTGACACAGCTCAAGTTCTGGGCCCTTAGGGCCCGCCCCCGAGATCGCATACTTATTATATGTATGTGTGTGTTAAAGACCAGAGAGCAGCCTCTCTCATTTGGAGATCTATCTCTAGATAGATATTTATCTATATATAGAGATCTATACACCTACATATACACACATAACATATATAATATATATATAGAAAAATGTTATTGGATATGTGTGGGTACAGTAAATGAGTAAGAGAAACACAAACACCGCAGAAATTTAAAAACAGCACTGGTCCTTAACAGTAAAAAAAATTGAAAACCTGTCTGGTCACTAAGGAGTTAAACATAGAAATCACCCACAATTACAACTTTGCACACCAAGCTACCAGATACCTCCAAAAATGTTCCAGAACTGCTGAACGTTGCTTGAGAAAGTCTTACTCTGCGTCTGACTTCCTCCACTATAAATGTATGCTGCCCTCCTACAGTTTGGCTCTAACCTCTGCAAATGAAAACTACTTAAAGGACCACTATAGTGCCAGGAAAACACTTGTTTTCCTGGCACTATCGTGCCCTGAGGGTGCCCCCCTCAGGGACCCCCTCCCGCCCGGCTCTGGAAAGGCGAAAAGGGGTAAAACTTACCTTTTTCCAGCGCTGGGCAGAGAGCTCTCTGCCTCCTCTCCTCCGATCCGCCCCGTCGGCTGAATGCGCATTCAGCCGGTCACATAAGAAAGCATTCTCAATGCTTTCCTATGGACACTGGCGTGCTCTCACTGTGAAAATCACAGTGAGAATCACGCAAGCGCCTCTAGTGGCTGTCAATGAGACAGCCACTAGAGGGAATGCTTAACCCATTGATAAACATAGCAGTTTCTCTGAAACTGCTATGTTTATGAAAAAAACGGGTTAACCCTAGAAGGACCTGGCACCCAGACCACTTCATTAAGCTGAAGTGGTCTGGGTGCCTAGAGTGGTCCTTTAAATACCCTTATATCCACAGAAAAGAGAAAAAGTACAATCCATGGCGCTAAGGATAAGCAGCTAGAACACACTTAATGTGAATAATCACAAAAAATTCCACAGAAAAAGTGAATACAAACAAAATGGTGTGCAGCGCAGAATAGGTAATACCCCAAGTGAGATGCAGTGCATTCACAGTGAGGATATATATAACCAATGTAAAGATGATGCCAATATATACCCTAAATATCATCAGGGTCAGATGGTAGTAAGCCCAGATGTTTGAAGAAATCAGTGGCACAATACCTATAAATAGGTAAAAAAGAATAGACTCATAGCATAACACTGAAAAGTGATATGTGTTTATAAGGTATCTATATGGTCCAACTCACATTTGTGAGAGCCTGTTTAAGGAAAACTGGCTCAGGTAGTAACACTTGTAAAGAAATCTGGAGGATATTCCAATTGTATGCAGCTTGCTCCTCAAAATGAGAGGTACAGAGAGGGTACACCAATTAAAAAGCAAATTTATTACAAATATATATAAACTCTATATAAACATGAAAATTGTAGTAATGACATTCTCAGATAAGTAGAAAAGGCACAACGCGTTTCGAAATTACTCGTCTTCCTGAGGTGCAATAATATCAAACAAACTTCATACACCGTGAAATACATCAAATGGTGCTGGAAACGGGTACTTAGAACCCGCCCCCTATGCCTAATAGCCAATCGGCAATGTAGTCTCTTCCTCCCGTTTGGTCTCTCGGAGTTGCTGTAGCCGCATCCATCTACTTCCGGTTTTATGTTATAAACAGCAGTTCTGGATTGTATGCGTTCCACGAACTACCAATCAGCGCGCTCATGCATTCCAACGATGATATGTGCCGTCCAAATATATAAATGCTGTCAGTATCAGCTTAAAATCTTGGCAAATAGTCCAATTAAAGTCCATAAAAAATGTCCATACATAAATAAAATAAAGAGAAAACAAAATATTTATTATAAAAACACACACACATACATACTTTTTTTTTTTTTTTTTTAAAGTATCTATATAATTCATATTGTTTAAAAAAAACTACATTAAATACCCCATACAAATTAAATATAGTTAAACATATCAAAATCAATATTTAACCCTTTAGGAGAGAGGGTTTCCAAATCGAAGGTCCATCTAATTTCTGTCATGTTAAGGATCCTCATATGGTCACCCCCTCTCCAAGGTTTTAAAACTTTTAGAAATCCCCATAAAGTGCAAGGCTTTTATATCTCCATTATGTTTTTGATGAATATGTGCAGATACAGAATGGGTTAATACCCCATTGTGTATATTTCTCAGATGTTCACTAATTCTAACTTTCAGTAATCGAGTAGCGCGCCCTATGTATTGTAAGCCGCATATGCACGTTAATAAGTAACTAATGTTATTAGAATTACAAGTAATGAATTCCTTAACATGATATTCTTTTTTAGTTACATTAGACTGAAACTTTTCTGTTTTTCTAGTTGAAGTTCTACTGGACTTAGAAGCCTTGCAACTACCACAGTAGTAGAAACCTTTTAAAACGTTTCCCTGTACATCTTTATTCGGCACTGTTAAGACCTGCAGTGGTTATGGTGCTGCGGTCTTCTGTTCCGAGCTGAGCATGAGTGATTATAGCTACAGCAGGGAGTAGAGGAATGAGGTAGTTGCAGTTCCAAGGTGATTCTTCCCAGCAAATAGAATATCCCCCAAACATGAGCCTAGACTTCATGAAGGGTGTAACAGGAATGAATTTTATTGACACACATGGGCTTTTATGAGAAATCCTCCTGCAAGAGGACCTCCCACAGCAAACATAGTCAACAGCCAATCAACATACAGATTTACAGTAATACACGCCTTCTCTCTGCCTGGGAGATATTGAGATAAATTAAGGAATAAACCAATTATCTCCAGGCAGAGAGCACACAATTTCCCCAAAACTCAGAACACCCCTTTCCCCACCAGGTACCCCCACAAATTACATATCCCCTGATAGCCCCGATCTGGGGGACAAACATATCCAAATTTCACCCAGATCGGTACAGGGGTTCTAAAAAAGTGTGGAGGGTCCCTTTTACCGACCACACATGCGGCTCCTGCCCAAAACAGTTCCATGAATTCAGCGTGTGCGGTCGGTCAATTCACAAATAGGTAAAAAACGAACAAAAGTCCCGAATGGATCTCCTGGCTCATAGTAGCGAATGCTCCCCTAGTCCGTTCGCACAGAACTACCGAATGGTGCTTCCCTGGCTGTTCGGGAAATACAAGAAGCCGGCGCTTGGTAGTTTCAGCGGTGGTTCGCGAGGTCGAGTGTCCGATTTTAGTTCCAGACACTCGACGACCAAGTCCCGCTGACTCCCTTCGTGCGAACAAGATGGCCGCCGTTTTCTATTCCACGTGGCATTCGTCTGTACGAACAGAGGCCGCCCAGGGAGCACTTAATAGCTGGATCCTTTGTAGTTAATGAGCCAGGAGAGTGGTCGGCATTCAGTAGTTTCAAACTACCGAACCAATACATTCAATATACAGGTAAATAACAGGAAAGTACTGAACAAAGAAGAAAATGTCCATTAAAAGTCTATTTTCTTCACAGGCACTATTTTTTTTTATTTTTTTTAGGGATCACACTATGGGTTAAAATACTTTTAAAATTATTCGCACCCCTGCATACTACCCGTGGTTTATCTCCTATATAAGTGTCCAGGTCTTCATTTTGTCTTAAAATGTGCCAATGTTTTACCCCCCAAAAAACATTTTTGGGTTAACTCTCCCTCCCTGCCGACATCAGCTCCCTCTGCCGACATCAGCTGAGCCGAATGCGCGGCAAGTGCTGCGTGCGCATTCAAAGTGTCCATATGAAAGCATTTTTCAATGCTTTCCTATGGACGCTCTGCGTGATGGAGGCATCCAGAAGACAGCCACTAGGTAACTGGGTTAAATTGCTATGTTTGCATCTGCAAGGTTAAAACCTGAGGGACCTGGCCCCCAGACCACTAAAGTGTCCCTTTAAAAACTCACTTTTTAGGAAAGCATATCAAACTGTTTTCCCTCCACGCACCCTGATTCCTCTCCAACTATGATTAAAAAACAAAACATTAAGCCTTCCGTGAATACTATTCTAGCAACCTACTTTTCTACCATAACCGTATCTATTGTGTCACAATACCCCACTCCCTCTAGCATGTAAGCTCATTGAGCAGTCCCTCAACCCCTTTGTTTCCTGTGCGTCCAACTCACCTGCTTACAAAAACTTTGTTAGTCCATAAAATGTACAGAATTTACAGAACTTGTTGGCACTTTATAAATAATAATAATTATTATTATTACATACAAGCAATGTAGTGTTTAGCAATAGTGATGTCCCGAACAGTTCGCCACGGTTTCCAGTCAGCAGACACATTTCAGCCAATCAGCAGCAGACCCTCCCTCCCAGACTCTCCCACCTCCTGGACAGCTCACTAAGAATGCAGCTTCAAAATGGATGCTGTCAAGGAGGTGGGAGGGAGGGTCTGCTGCTGATTGGCTGGAATGTGTCTGCTGACTGGAGTCCGCGGCGAACCGTTCGGGACATCACTATTTAGCAAGCTATTACCAGAACAGGAGATACAACATTAGATGACTTTTACATGAAGAGTTTAGGAAGAATGTGTATCAGAAAACACAGCAGTGAGAACAGCAGGATGACAACCTGTATTGACAAAAAACAGACTGAGCCCAGATGAGTCATGGGTAGCATTATTGCTTGCAAATTCGGCACAGGGCAATAATTCAGCCCAGTTAGACTGTGTACTATTCAAGAAGCAACGTAAATACAGCTCAAGTGATTGGTTAGCTCTTTCAGCCATACCATTAGTTTGGGGATGGTAAGCAGAGGAAAATGACAATTCAATGCCCAACTGTTTATTGAATGCCCTCTAGAACTGTGACACAAATTGGGAACCCCTGTCAGACACAATATTTTGAGGAATACCATGTAGCCTGACAATATCGCATATAAATATGTGCACCAGGTCCTGAGACGATGGCAATTTTCTAAGTGGAGTAAAACGTGCCATTTTGGAAAAACGGTCAACTATCATGAGGATGGTTGTATATCCATTGGAACTAGGCAGTTCAACAATGAAATCCATCAATAAATGAGACCATGGGATACTGGATATGGGAAGTGGCTGTAACAATCCACATGGAAGTTTATGAGGAACCTTCGATACTGCACAGACAGTGCAGGCTTCTACATAATCTTTAATATCCCTCCTGAGTGACTCCCACCAAAATTACCTGGAAGTGGCGGATACAGTTTTATTAATACCTGGATGCCCAGAAGTCACATTGTCATGGAATACCTTCAGCACCTCTTTCCTGTCAGGCAATGGAATAAACAATTTATCTTGAGGTTTGTTGCAAGGTGTCTGGGGCTGAGCCGCCATGATATCACGGAGCAAAGGGGATGATAAAGAAAGGCCAGTGGATGCAATAATACACTCAGGAGAAATGGGGCATGTCTCTTGTTCTAGATCTGATTCAACGTCAAATTGCCTAGACAAGGCGTCAGATTTAACGTTCTTAGAACCGGGTCTGTAGGTGATAATGAAGTTAAAGCGAGACAAAAATAATGACCATCTAGCGTGTCTAGAAGACAGTCATTTGGCATCCCCAATATAGGCCAGGTTCTTGTGATCAGTAATCAGAATGGGATCCTTGGAACCCTCTAAAAGATGTTGCCATTCTTAAGCGCTAGTAAGATGGCTAATAGTTCTCTATTACCAATTTCCTGGGCAGGAGACAACTTTCTGAAGAAGTAACCACAAGGATGCAAAAGGGCATCCTGAGTCTCTCTCTGAGAAAGAACAGCCCTGACCTCTGTCTCGGAGGCGTCAACCTCAAGTAGGAAAGATTTACTAGTGTCAACATGTCTTAATATGTCAGCAGATGCGAACATTTGTTTAAGAAGCTCAAAAGCCTCTTTAGGAAATATAGTACAATTAGCCCCCTTGCGTGTCATATTGGTGATGGGGGCTATTACCGAAGAGAAACCCGGCTCTGGAAGGGTGAAAGGGGTTAAAACTTATTTTTCCAGAGCTGGGCGGAGAGCTCTCCTCATCCGATCCTCCTCCGTTCCTCCCCGTCGGCTGAATGCGCACGCGCGGCAAGAGCTGCACGCGCATTCAGCCAGTCACATAGGAAAGCATTCATAATGCTTTCCTATGGATGCTGGCGTGCTCTCACTGTGAAAATCACAGTGAGAAGCACGCAAGCGCCTCTAGTGGCTGTCAATGAGACAGCCACTAGAGGAAATAGGGGAAGGCTTAACCCATTCATAAACATGGCGGTTTCTCTGAAACTGCTATGTTTATGAAAAAATGGGTTAACCCTAGTTGTACCTGGCACCCAGACCACTTCATTAAGCTGAAGTGGTCTGGGTGCCTAGAGTGGTCCTTTAAGCTAAAGTTGTTCAGGTGACTATAGATTCCCTTTAATTGGATTTCAGTGTAAAGACAAGTATAACTTTAATCTCTTTAACATGTATTCAACATGTGTGCACTCTCTAATTTTTATTAGTTCGATGTAAATGGAGATGGTCACATCAGTGGAATGGAGCTGAGAGATGCTGCTCAGAGTTTCTTGGGTGAGCCTCTAAACCCTAGCGAAGTCCAGGAGATCATTCATGATGTAGATCTGAATGGTGATGGCCGTGTCGACTTTGATGGTGAGACTTTTTTTACATTATTTTATCTAAACAAGCATTAACTGGACATTAGAACACTTGAACATTTAAGCATACAGAAGCTAAGAAAAATAAAAAGATACTTCTACATATTTAAAAGGTTTATTTAGATTCCAGAATACAAAACCACATTTAATACCTTTTTTTGTTTCTTTGTCATTTTTCAGAGTTTTGTTTTTTTCACCAGAAGTGTGAATTTAAGTTGAGGTACAAAAACTGCTATAAATAGAGGAGGCTTGTCAACAGGAGCAGTTTATCATGAAATTAGAAAAAATATATTAAATCTATTCATGTTAAAGTTTAAAAGCATAGGCCTCCAACACATGCTTAGTCTTCTCTAACATGATTTCTGAGGTAACTCATTGGCTGCAGGACCTTAGACACTCTGGAAGACAGACCTGCATATTGCCCTGTCTTTTAGGGCTGTCATTAGGTAACAGCACCAAGTGGGGGCCTCAGACCTCTTTAAAGTGGAAATGTGTTCCCAAATATGTGTATCTACAGGTTTATAGTGTTAAACAGGGCATGACCTCTCACTTGGTAAGATGTTAAGTACATGGGATTACATAGGCAAAGTTGGGGATGGGCCCTGGCAGCCATACTCTGAGTAGAAGCAGAAAGTTTAAAGGGACACTATAGTCAGACTTATTGAATTTGTTCTGGTGAGTAGAATCATTACTTTCAGGCTTTTTGTTGTAAACACTGTCTTTTCAGAGAAAAAGCAGTGTTTGCATTACAGCCTTGTGATAACTTCACTGGCCACTCCTCAGATGGCTGTTAGAGATCACTTGCCTAAAATGCATCCAAACATTCAGTATCTCCTCCCTCTGCATGCAGACACTGAACCTTCCTCATAGAGATACATTGATTCAATTCATCTCTATGAGGAGATGCTGGTTGGCCAGGGCTGTGTTTGAATCATGCTGGCTCTGCCCCTGATCTGCCTCTTTGTCAGTCTCAGCAAAACCTATGGGGAAGCATTGTGATTGGATCAGGCTACCACTTCTGATGATGTCAGCACACTGCTTGCTTTTCTGAGTCTAACAGCATGCAGAGTTACAGCTTCAAGCTTGAATACAGTAAGATTTTTTACGATATTTATAGAGGCATGAGGGGCTAGATTGTGGTTTTAACTCTATGGGGTCAGGAATACGTTTGTGTTCCTGACCCTATAGTGATCCTTTAAACTCTGCAACTACCTTCAATATTTTGCATGTTCTCACTGATTTACCATGTGAGATCTCATTGGTTGCCCTGGTGGGGAAGCTGGCTGGTCTCCTGCCAGGAATAAATAACCATACCAGTTTGCCAATGTAGTTTATCTTGGGTCCTGCCTTCTTCCCATTTTTGAACCAGAGATGGTTATCCAGGTCCCTTCTGTTTAGATTCAATTAGGACTCTGCTATCAAAAAAAACAAACAAAAAAAAACTACAATCTTTTCCTAAGATCAGCTGGTCATGAGATGATTACTACTATGGCACAAGGGAGTCTTCTATTGCAGCTGCATTCTGAAAGGGCACAAGAGTCAGTAAACACCCGAATAGAGCAAGGGCAAGTCAAAACACATGCATAGAGCTGCAAACCTCTCACCCCATAACTGGGCCAGAGACAGCCAAGGGAAGTCACAACCTCTATTACTCCCTAGGCAATGACCTCACAGGGAATTCACCACCCTACACTGCCAACATTCCTGGGATGACCACCGCATCTGGAGAGAACATTATTGTGATTTGTCACACTGATATCACTCTCTACCCTACCTGTATCATCAGAGATATATTAAGACAGGCAAAATATCAAAAACGTGTAACTTGATAAAGTGTAATAGTGTTTCCTAAAAGAGAACCACCTCCAATAGTTACAAACAAACGTGAAATAAACCAAAAATTGTCTTTGGTGCTAATAAAAGAAACATGCGCTGTGCAAATCCACAATTATATGCAAAGTAAAATATAAGACAAAAAATTAGTATTACCCTTTATCGGCTTTAAAATTCTGGTCAGGGCACTCTCAGAATCAGTATGTATTAAGGAGATCATATAACGAGAAAAACAAGCTGGCACAGCTCTTAAAAAAAGGGGCAGAACGTGGAAGAAATCCAAATAAACAAACGCACTACAAGGACTTTTGTGAATACAATATACCAAATGAACTGTGTCTTTCAATCCGATTGCTAGCGATGCATAAGATCCTGGCGACAGTAGATGTTTGACAGAGAAGTTGCCTCCTGGTGGGCAATGCGTATAATGCACAAATTATTTAGAACATATATCCTTGTAAGTGTATATTTGGTTGTTTTAAACTTTTACGGCTTTATTAAATACACTATGATATTTCTCTATGTTTTTCTTGTTATATGATCCAATATATATATTGTGTGTGTGCACTGACCAGTATTTTAAAGCCTTTTAAAAGGTAACACTTATATTTAGTTTTTTGCACTTTTTTGGTGCCAAAGACAATATTTTGATTTATATATTAAAACAGACCTTGATTTTACTCAGACTGACCAGCATTGTGTACTTTCTCATTTTTAAACCTGGGGGCTAGACGGTGAATACTCCCAACTGGATAGTCATCTGCAGTGGATTTGCATTATCTTTGATCATGGGTCATGTACTCAGGCCTTCAGACTGGGAATTATTTAGATGGTTCCGTATGCTTTGTGAGTCTGAATTTTTATTGCAGTCCCAGTTCCTCCATGCATATGTCAATTTATAAATAATGTTGCTCAGCATACATTTTTGTTTCATCATTCAAAGTTAAAAGATACAGCACAGTTGAGCACATTAAAACATAGCCTACATAGATCGAGAACAATGCAATATGGCATAATAAAGCAATAAGATATAACCTGTGACAGCACATTAAAATATAGCCAATGTCGGCCAAGAAAAATTAGATATGGCATAACAGCAAAATGAGAGATTTTGTGAGAATTGCCTTAGAAGACATATAGCAATCAGATTAATAACAGTCACCATGAGAATAATAGTACAATTTTAAAAAAAAAGTGTCATGGAGCCCCTATTATGCACTAAAACAAGAATAACTAGAACTCACCATGAGCCCTGGCATTTGTTATTGATCAATACAATACGCAGGCAATATGGGTCCTCCAAGCCAGTCCGTGCCCCCACTAAATGTTCCACAGCACAGTGCGCACTTGATGGCCTGTCAGACCACCAGATTGTCCTCCACCTAGAGTCCGCAAACAAGCCATCTCCTGCACCTCCACTGTACTACCAGAGCTCTGGTATGCAGAATGGAAGCTGCCGCATGTTTCTCCCATGAACCATCAGGGCAGGTAAACTAAAGCACATCCTCTCAGCAACCGGTCTGCTGGACGCTACCACAGCACGATCCCTCAGGGCTCACAGTGGCATCAACAATTTTATCCAGGTTCCCCATAAAACCTAGAGACATAGGACCCATGATCTCAGCAGGGTATTGCCTCAAAGACACCATGGGGGACCAGCACCCCACAAGGGCATTGTATTCATTGTAAGCTAGACCCCTAAACAAAAGAACAAATTTATTTTAAGGAGACGTGCATTTGCATATAACCAATGTTTCAGTTCAACTAACTTGACATATTAAGAAAAGTTTGTTAATGGGACTGAAATGGTGAGTGTATGCTGTTGTACAGCTGTAAAAAAACAAATTACGTTATCTTGTTGATTTTGAAGTCCTATGAGTGTGTTCTTAACTTTGGCTGAGATCATCAAACTAATACACAGCCCCCTCCTGTCAGGATCTTACCTGAGTTGGGAATCTGTAGCGCAGTTATGTTGCTCACCCTTGCAAATACACACAGTCCAAGGTGACCAGATAATAAACCACCTGGACTGTGAATCTGTGCACGGGGGGCCGTGGAGGATAAAGTTCCAAGTCGCAGTACAGGCTAGGACACAAACAGCAGGATAGTCAAGGGATAGCCGAAGCCAAAGGATGCCAGAGGTCAGGATCAACAAAGAGTAGCCAAAGTCAAGGGATGCCAGAGGTCAGAGAAAACAATGTCAGAAGCCGGGGTCAATATAGAGTTGAGATTCAATAGACCGGAACACAGGAACGTAATACACACAACAGTATCAAAGACTTGATAACGTTCACAGGGCGAGGCTGTGTTTATATACCCTGCTGATGTCTGATCAGGGTCAGGTGAAGCACAGCAATTGTCAAGGTCCAGCCCCCAGTGGTACAGACAAGCCAGGATGAATAGGACTGGAATAGCTTGAAAATAAACAAAACTGTTGTGCCTCAAAGGTAGAATGCAGGCCCAGGACCACAAAGTTCTCAAGTTCAAATCCCCTGTTGGGCACTTCTGGGGCGACCACGTCTGGATGTCATGGTGAGATCTTTGACACCTTCCTCATTTTAAACACTGCCCACAAATCAAATATTGCCCCAAATCCAATAAACTGCCCCTCCTCTCCCCACTCTGATTTAATACAATACACTCCAATACACTGGCCCCCACCCTCAATTTAATACACTGGTGCCCTACCTCTCCCAAATGAATACACTACCCGCTCCCTCCATCAAATTAATTTACTGTCCCCTTTCCCCAATTTAACACTACACAGGAATGTCCCTCAAGCCCCTCTTTCCCTACCTTAAGATGAGCTGCCCGTCCTCCAGCTCCAGCCCTGCTCTTCTCTACTCAAGCAGGCCAGACGCTCCTCTGAAACTGCAAGCAGGCGGGAAGGGTGAGTGGCTTGCCTGCTCTGCAGACAGACAGCCACTCTGCCCTCTTGTGGCCATGGGAGGAAAGACAAGAAGCAGACAGGAAAGATCTTTCCCGCCTTGCAGCTGGTCGCAGCAACAGCACAAATCGGCCACAGTGCAAGTGAGCCGCAAATATATTCATTGTTGGCTGCAAGTTTGACATGCTTGCTGTACATGCATGGTCCTATTGGCATTCATTTCGCTGTTTAATTTGCTGCATGAAACATGACAGTGAACACATATTTTGAAGGACTCATCTGGACTTCATTTAGTAGCCATTTAGTATGTAGCAATACCTGTGCTTTTTTCTTGTTTCATGTCTAGTAATTGTGAGTGCATTTTTAGAAGACCTACATTTTCCTCAGCCAACCCTCCTATTCCCATTGTTTATTTACACCTTCCTTAATACATCTTTATTTCCCTTTATTACCCATTGCATCTTCTCATCCTAATTTTGAATTGAAGCCCATGGTCCCATATTTGCCTCTGCTTTAATTTTTACCTCTATTCCTAACCCTATTCCGTCCAACATTGTCTTTTCATAAAAGGGTGATATGCCATTTGCTCGCCAACCCCTTTATTAAAAATATAAATACCTTGACCCTACACCAGTATTTTGTTTTTTATCTAATTTACATCATTTTTTTTTTCCTGGTGCTGGCTATATGATTGGCACCCTCTGTATTTTCAGTACAGATCTAGTACAGTCCCCATCTCTTGTTCATTATACTTGTATTGTAGTGAAAGTGGTATGCTTTCTGCTTCTCACTGCTCTAACACAAGTTTTACAAAAGGGAGCTTGTAGGTTGATTATATCATGTTTTTTTCTGGTTCTACTTATTTCTGATCAATTCATTTTTATTGTATCATCTCAAGCATGTAAAACAAATTACCAAAAAATGTTACTTCATAGAAAAAAGTGTGGGGACCAAACTAATATTTCATCTGTCACTTGCTGCTGCCACATGAACAACGACCACATTCATTTTAGCAAATTGTTTTAAAAGGGAACTGTCACATTTTTACTCAACGGAATAAAACATGGAAAATCAGCTGTAACTTCTTAACATTTTTTTCATGAGATGCTCTGTTTTTTCAATTGATATTAAAGATTTAGCAAATTTATCACGATCTAATTTAGGCAAGGTAAAGTCAGGGCAAACAATTTTTTTTTTTAAATGCTCCTCTTCCTTTTATGTTTTCTCTATGCTGACTGCCAGGTGCAAATTACAGAACCTTTAACCCCCTTAAGGAATGTGTGACATGTCATGATTCCCTTTTATTCCAGAAGTTTGGTCCTTAAGGGGTTAAAGTACAACTAATATAAGCCATGCCATTTCATCTCAACAAAGTTCTCTAGGCGCTGTGGCTCTGTATATTTAATCCAGCAATTTAAAACTGAATTTCATACTGACAGTCACTAAGAGGTGCTTCTTGTGATAGTAACCGATTAAAAGTCTGCAATGTGACTGCAGTCTACATAGGAAAACACTGATTCACTGCTTTCCTTTGGGGAACACTGGCAAACGAGCATCGCGGGAGGAGGTGTGGTAAGCAGTCCCTCGGCACGGGGAAAAAAGGTAAGTAAAAAGGAGGATTTTTTAATCCTTTTTATGCCAAAGTTGCAGGGAAGGTCTATATATATAAAATTAGGAATAACAAAGCCTACAGATTAGTATTTCTAATTGTCTTAACAACAATTGTCAGGTAGCTACGATGGAGGCTTACATAAAATAATTATGGGAAGTGACAGTCCCCCTTGAATTTTCCTTTACCAAGCAACTTTTTCATGTTTTCTCTATTTCTTTAAATCTGTTTCAGAGTTTGTCATGATGTTGTCATCCAGATAACCTTTGCTGAAGAAATTATCACAGTGTGAACAGACAATAATGAAATCCTTGAAGGGCCTTGTCTCCCAGCAGCTGTGTCGAAATTATACTTTTGATCAAAAAGTATACAAAAGTATGCACGTCACATGGTTAAAAATGTCCATTGTTGTAACATTAAAATATTAATTACAAGCAATGTAAACATGTTTGTTATTTATATAAATATATATAAAGGCACTCTGCGTAAAACAATCTGCAGAAATAGGGGTATTGTCCTAAGAGGTAGAGCTCTGAAACTTTATAGCAAGATGCAGATTGCCTTATAAACTTAATGGTAACATACACAAAGCAAGATAATGTTTTCACAAGATACTTTTCTTCTTGCTAATAGTTTTAGTGTTTTCCTGGTGTTCTTTTGCATTGATTTGACATATCTAGTTTAGAGAGAGTTGATGTAGCAACAAGCTTTCTTCATTAGATCATTTATCAAAATATGGGAGGTAGAAGAATTGGAAGCCATATCTGCCTCGCACGGCGCAGTATATGAATATAACATGGTAAACTGCAAGGGAAAAAAAACACACACACAAGTGAAAAGGGAAGAACAGAGAATGACATTGTTGTAAGCAAGAATCCCACCTGATCATGTCACATATATGTTAAATGTACATGTAAAACTAAATACCTGGTTACAATTTTTTTTTTAAACTAAAAAAAATACAAAAAAACCTCATGACCTCTATTCAGGTGTTAAATATGAAAGGTTAGTAATGTATGTTGCCTCCTAAGATGGAATTCCAGATATTTTCTCCTGTAAAACATTTATTAAATGATAAATATTTGTAAACGTATCTCACCTCCTGGTATCAAGAGTAATAGCCCAGGTACAAAAAATATGGCACTTGAAACAGCTGTAAAAAGATATAGTATTATTTGCTTAGCTGATTATTTGTAAATTATATATAAGTGAGTGTATATGCATCATATAAAATCAGTCATCTACTAACCTGGTGAAGGGGAAACCTGCAATCCCACACCAATAAACAAAAAGACTGCAAAAGACAGAAAAATACATTTACTGGTATTTAGGGAAGTTAGGAAATCTAGGAAAGGATTGAGACAGATATATATACTCACCTAAACCTAAAAGTAGCAGAAGGAAAGATGAAGTAACAACTTTCTTGTTCTTTTGAATCAGTGGGTGTCTTGTCCAGCTGTAAACATAACCAATAAAGAGTGGTTGAACTAGAAATCCCTGTGTTTCATTGGCAAATTGTGATTTTCCAAACTGACAGCTTAATCTGTCAAAACTAAATTAAAACTAAACGTTCTTATGCACCCCATGAACCAATATCTTCTCCTCAGGGAGAGAGGTCAGAGCCCCAGTCACTAAAAGGGAACAACCAGGGAGTCACCTTTGTATAGATACTGTTTACTGGGTCTTCACGGGCAAGAGGCTGAACCCTGGCCAGGCCTGCAAAAATATTGTCCAGATGAATATAAAATAAAATATATGCTAAATCTAACTGACAAGAAGTGGGTGGCACTATTTATAGTAATTTCACAGTTCTGTTTCCTGTCCTTTCTCCTTGGACAGGAGGAGCTAATCCATAAATCAATGCTACCATAGCCTTATCAATTGTAAATTGTAAGGGAAAAATTGAGTAATCTTTGTTCAGCAAGGGCTGAGTGGAAGGTTTTAAATGGTTATTCACTAAAGTATGAATGGTTCTGTATTGGACAGGAAAACACCATCCAGCTGCACAGGGCCATAGAACTGCAAAATTCGTACATTGTACACACTATTTAACAATGTCCACATCCTGAAGGGGCCTGACTTTGGTACAGATTTCAGCCAGACTAAGCACTACCAGAAAGCTGAATTCAAATGATTTGCCTGCTGACAGCACTAGCAGCCAGCGGGCAAATAGTTAAAACCCTTGGCACTTGCTAGCCAGTCGCCACATTAAATAGTTAAAAACTCTATGTGGGTCAAAAGGTCCTCCATGTTTTTTATAAAGGAGGTTTACCTATGCCTTCACATGCCATTGAAATGTGGGACATCATAGCTCCCCCTGACCCCAACCATGCTCAATGGGTGGGGTTATTACATTTATACCAGGAAGGATCATATTATCCCCTCCCCCACTCATTAGCAGCAGGTGGGGGAAAAAAATAAAATTTGAGCTGTGGAGCACTGATTTAGCCTTTACGAGTGAGATTGTAGTGTTACATAGTTACATAGCTGAAAAGAGACTTGCGGCCATCAAGTTCAGCCTTCCTCACATATGTTTTTGTTGTTGATTTAAAAGAAGGCAAAAAACCCAGTCTGAAGCGCTACCAATTTTGCAACAAACTAGGAAAAAAATTCCTTCTTGACCCCAAAATGGCTGTCAGATAGCTCCTGGCTCAAGCAGCTATTACCCCATTTATTTATTTGCTGTTTAAACACATGTATAGACTCTGATAAAACTACCTCTTCAGGCAAATAATTTCACATCCCTATAGTTCTTACTGTAAAAAAAAAACAAAAAAAAAAAAAACTTTTCTTTGCCTTAGACTAAATCTCCTTGCTTCCAGCCTAAATACGTGACCTTGTGTCCTATGTATGTGTGACAAGTACATATAAAATAAACTGGATTAAAGCAAAAAGGACAGACACACACACACAGACTACCTGAAGCAATTCCGGCTTGAAAGCTGAGTGCTGTTACTTATGGTGCTGAGGGAGCATTGAGAACTGTGAAATGACAGTGTTGGGAAACTTCTGGGGGAGAAAGATGTGTCAAAACATTCAGATGAAAAAACAAACAAATAATACTCGTGTATCTACAAACTATGGACACAATGAGGAATGCAAGAGAGTCAAAATTGCTGCTTAAAAATGGTTAATTTTGACATTATAAATTTAACAGCTAGTAGGTGTATAGAATGTATGATGGTTTGTAAGTATTAAATGTGAATATTTTATACTTAAAAGGGACACTAAGGAGAACAGCACATTGCAACAATTATGGTGCTATTCAGTCTTTCGTTACCATCAACCAGCTTACTGACGCACTGTTTTCAAATGGTTTGAGAAAACTGTGGCTCCTTCCCATACCTTTGATGGTCATTAAATGGCAGCACCCATTACTTTGTTGAGATAACAATATCTTATGTACATCCTCTGCAAAATTCACCACCTCAAACATAACAAACAGTCACAAATGTCCTAAAACATTATGAAAATATGGATGAGAAAAACACTATGTAAGCAGAAGAGTTTACGAAAAATAAGCATAATTCTAGAAATGTCAAGTGATATATGTATTCACACATATAAATGAAGTTTAAGTTTACCTTTCTGTGTCTTTGACCTTAATATCAGTGATTTCTTCATAGTTCTCCAAATTCTAAAACAAGAAAAAAAAAATATCCACAGTAAAACAAATAAAAAAAATTGAGGATGAGAGATACTGTAAGACAAATAGACACAATATGCAGATAATGGAATCAATGGTGCACTCCCATTCAGTGGGCACTTGTTAGAATGTTAACGTGCTTTGCAAACAGCTGGTGGTTGTTCAGTTTTATTTCCATGAAAAAGCTTTGTGAAAGCAATGCCCCATCTAATGGACATAAGAATAGGACAACTTTGCCCAAATATAATTTGCTGCAATACAGTTGGCTAAAGATACTCTAAACTCCTATTGTGAGTGCAATCCGATACAGCAATACTTGATGTATACAAACTGTATACAAACACTATGCTATGTTTATTTGTATTCTGTGAAACAGTTGACTCTGTGTATATGGTTTTGGTATACTGTTGTATTTAAAGAGATTCCTACTGGGAAAGCCCTTTGGGGAAGTTGACACAGATAATCACATGCCAGTTATCTATTTCTATATTGGTGGTGGGATTAGGCTAAATATTTTGTGGTGTATACATATTAAAGGACCACTATAGTGCCAGGAAAACATACTCGTTTTCCTGGCACTATAGTGCCCTGAGTGTGCCCCCACCCTCAGGGTCCCCCTCCCGCCCGGCTCTGGGGAGAGGAAAGGGGTTAAACTTACCTTTTTCCAGTGCTGGGCGGGGAGCTCTCCTCCTCCGTTCCTCCCATTCAGCTGAATGCGCACGCGCGGCAAGAGCTGCACGCGCATTCAGCCGGTCGCATAGGAAAGCATTTACAATGCTTTCCTATGGACGCTTGCGTGTTCTCACTGTGATTTTCACAGTGAGAATCACGCAAGCGCCTCTATCGGCTGTCAATGAGACAACCGCTAGAGGAATTGGAGGAAGGCTTAACCCATTTGTAAACATAGCAGTTTCTCTGCTATGTTTATAAAAAAATGGGTTAACCCTAGCTGGACCTGGCACCCAGACCACTTCATTAAGCTGAAGTGGTCTGGGTGCCTAGAGTGGTCCTTTAATGCATCCCTCTAAACACTTTATATTGGAAATAACTGCACTAGGGATGTGCTAAGAGTCATGGACACTTGGGTGACATTATTATGGAAAGAGCTTTCACAGTAAAGAGCATCATAGTAAACCTAGCTCTTGATTTAATATTTTTGGATAAGCTCTGCTTGTCACTTCATATGCATATTGTGTATGTGCAGGGCCGGATTAACAGCCTGCAGCTCCAGGCACATGGAATAGGCCTATTTTTTTATTTATTTTTTACACACTACTCTTAGGTTTGCCACCTGGCTGGTATTTTAAGGCACAACCGATATTTTAAGGCACAGCCGGTATTTGAGGCTGCCTGGCCCTGCCGTAATATTGCAGTAATACCGGTAATACAAATGCAAATATTTTTCTCAGTATAACAGAGATTACTCTGCAATACCAGCACCGGCCAGTAAGGGTCACTGTGTATGGACAGAGGCAGAGATAGGAAGTTACAGCATCTCCCTCCCTGCCTCTCTCTAATCACTGATCCGCAGGGGAAGAGCTACACAGCACAGAGAGTCCAGACAGCAGCTCAAGTATGTGAAGGGGGTGGGGGGGATTGGCAGCAGGGAGACATGGGGACACTGAGACACTAGAGGATGCTGTGAGACATATTGGGACACGAAGACACTAGGGACACAGTGCCTCCATGTGTCCCCATGTCTCCCAGCCAGTGTCCCTAGTGTCTCAGTGTCCCCATGGCTCCCAGTGTCCCCATGTCTCCCAGCCAGTGTCCCTAGTGTCTCAGTGTCCCCATGTCTCCCAGTGTCTGTGTCCCCATGTCTGTGTCTCTAGTGTCCCCAAATGTCTCAGTGTCCCCATGTCTATGTGTACAAGTGCCCCCATGTCTCCCAGTGTCCCCAAGTGTATGTGTCCCCATGCCTCCCAGCCAGTGTCCCTAGTGTCTCAGTGTCCCCATGTTTCCCCTAGTCTCCCAGTGTCTGTGTTTCCATGTCTCTCAGTGTCCCTAGTGTCTTAGTTTTCCCAAATGTCTGTGTCCCCATGTCTCTGTGCCCCTAGTGTCTTTGACCCCATTTCTCCCAGTGTCCCCATGTCTCCCAGTATGTCCATGTCTTCCAGTGTCCCCATGTCTGTATCCACAAGAGCCCCCATGTCTCCCAGTGTCCCCAAGTCTCTCAGTGTTCCCTAGTGACACGGAACACACTGAGACATGGGGACACAGACACTGGGAGACTAGGGGACTGGGCGACATGGGGACACTGACACTGTGATACATAGGGACACTGATGCCAGGCTGGCCCTGTGTATGTGCACCTTTGTAATGTTTGTATGAGGGCCTGTATATAATTAGTGTATGTGAGCTTGTGCATAATCTATGGAGGAAATGGTTGGTCGATGGGTGGAGAGGCATTTGTGACTTGGTGGGTTTGGGTATGTGAACAGGACGATTGATGATGGATAAGATGTGACACAGTAGGCAAGTGTGGTTTTGGTTGGGCAAGTGACTGAGGGGTGAATGTAACTACCTTGGTAAATATAGAGATGCCATCAGAGATTTTGGGGCCCTTTACACAGCTTAATGTATGGAACCCCCAAAACCCGCCCACAGTGCCCACTCCCAAGTATGCAGTGTATATGTCTTGACTTCAACAGTAAAAAGGGGGCCCAGGAGACAGCCATGGCCTGGCCCATGCTTTCACATTTTGCAGGTCCTCTTACTCTCACAGCCAGGGCTCACTCTGAAAAGCTGGGATTGCAAGAGTTGTTGGTATGTGTGTACATATACATTTATTACAATTCTCTCATATATATATATATTTATATATATATATATGTATATATATATATATATATATATAAACATACCGAATATAGGGCCCTGCACAGTCATATCATCTCTAACCCCTTGATGGTGGCCCTAGTTAAATATATGGAATTCAGTGGGTAGAGTTAATGTAACTAGCTAGGATACTCCATGTGACTGTAAGGAGGTATGTGATATTTATGTGGCTGAGTGAATGTGACTGGGTTACTGTAGGTAACAAGTTTTGTTTTTTGAAGTTTCAAATTAATTTGAATTAAACATATGCATCCAATTCTCAGAAGTAAAAAAGTCAAGGGTGCATTATAGGAGAAAGTAATTACACAACAAGCACACGGGGATCCATGAACATACGCTCTGATGGATAGGAGTAACTGGTTAGCCCCACTGCCAACGCTACGAGACCAGAGTCCAAACATTTGAAATACCATCAACTAGATCGCACCGTCGATAACAGTTTAATATTACGCACACTCCCATATTCTAGTATTTAAACAAGAGACATGGAGGGCCGCTGACAGTAGTTTTACCTTAGCATTGCAGGCCACGGGGGATTGCCCGGTCACGCCCAATGCCAAACTCAGTACGAAACCAGCAACAGTTTGTTTTATTAATATGTTGATGTAAGATATAGGTCTGATTGAATTTCCTGAAGCTATAGTCCTATAACGATATGTTTTGATGTTTACAATGAGACGCCTGTCATTGAACTACTTGAAAAACTCTCTGTATATCTGTGTTGAAAAACTAATAAAAAGTTATTGAAAAAAAAAAAAAAAAAAAAGTAATTATAAGAACAAACCTGGTATTTGTGCCTGTTCTGCTGGGCATCTGTATCCCCACTAAAATGCAGGGCTCCAAACCTGGATCCTGTGTCCTCCATAGACACCTCAAACGCATCATCAATAGAAAAATTACCCATTAATCCAGTAAAGGGTTGTCACTCATACACGTGCAGAGAGGAGTTCTATATTAGTACGATCTTCGGATAAAGACAGCCATTAAGTCACATAACCTGAATTTGAGGAGATAAGGAAAAGAGTGCAATTCCAAGTGTAAAATTGCATGCTTATATAGGTTTTTACAATTTAACTGCAAATATGAAACCTAACTTATGGCAATGTATTTAATTATGAACCTAAACTAATGACATACGAAAGAACATGAAAACCTATAGCTTTTAAACATAGATTCTTATTGCAAATTAATTTATCAAGTATTATTTCTTTAAAACTCTGCCCTCAGTTTCTCATTGCTACACAGTGTTGGGTGAATTCATATTGACACAGGGCTACAGGTTCAGTGAGAAATAAATATATATATTTTTTTTTAAATATCAAACTGCTCCAATAAAGTTTCACAAAAGACGGTGTACATATAAACTCACAACACCATAGCTGCTACAATATACCACAATGGCAATGGTGGTTAAAGTGTCTCTTTAACCAATAGCTTGTTTGTATTTATACAATGTCATTTATGTTTATTATTGTAATTTAAAGGAACACTATAGTCACCTAAACAACTTTAGCTTAATGAATCTATTTTAGTGTATAGATCATGCCTCTCATGTTTAACTGCTCAATTCAATGCCATTTAGGAGTTAAATCGCTTTGTTTCTGTTTATGCAACCCTTGCCACACCTCCTCTGGCTATGATTGACACAGCCTGCATGAAAAAAAAAATACTGGTTTTACTTTCAATCTTAACCCCTTAAGGACCAAACTTCTGGAATAAAAGGGAATCATGACATGTCACACATGTTATGTGTCCTTAAGGGGTTAAAGGGACTCTTCAGTGCCAGAAAAAAAACACATTAGGACCCTACAGTGGCCCTCTTCCTCCCACCCCCCCATCCCAAATTGCTGAAGGGGTTAAAACCCCTTCAGTGACTTACCGGAGTCCAGCGCGGATGTCCCTCAGTGCTGGGTCCGGCTCTGCCTACTCTCCTCCACCGCCGACGTCAGCCGGCAGGGGAGACCTAATGCGCACACGCATTAGACTTCCCCATAGGAAAGCATTATTCAATGCTTTCCTATGGGTATTTCGGGGACACAGGAGGTCCTCACATAGTGTGAGGACTGTCCAGAGTCGCTTAAAACACTTTTCGGGTTCTAAGAACACGGAAGTCCCTCTTGTGGCTGTCTGAAAGACAGCCACTAGAGGAGGACTTAACCCTGCAAGGTAATTATTACAGTTTATAAAAACTGCAATAATTACACTTGCAGGGTTAAGGGTAGTGTAAGTTGGCACCCAGACCAGACCAGACCAGACCAATGGACAGAAGTGGTCTGGGTGCCTGGAGTGTCCCTTTAAACAATGTTATTTCTTGCTCTGTATATTGAACTTTAGTCACATACAGGAGGCTCTTGCAGGGTCTAGCAAACTATTAACATAGCAGGGAATAAGAAAATTTAACTTAAACACAACTTGCAATAAAGAAAGGATAAACTTTAGATGACTTGTTACAGGAAGTGTTTAGGGAGGCTGTGCAAGTTACATGCAGGGAGGTGTGACTAGGGTTCATAAACAAAGTGATTTAACTCCTAAATGGCAGAGAATTGAGCAGCGAGGCTGGAGGGGCATGTTCTATACACCAAAACTGCTTCATTACGCTAAAGTTGTTTTAGTGACTATAGTGTCCCTTTAAGAAACCAGAGAGGGACACAAGTTTTAGGTACTACGGATTACAACTGATTTAATGCATTATTTGGGGAATGATAAAAATGTTTCTTGGAACCATCTTTCTATAAATGAGAAATACTGTGTTGCCTATATAAATATGTTTCCACACTGCAATGAACGAGAATCTAGGAATTAACCCCTTAAAACCCTGAGGGCATACTATTCTAAGCGGCTCTAAACGCCGCAGAGCGTAATAGCAGCAGCGTATCCTGCCTCCTCCGGCCCCCCACCTGGCCATGTGAGAGTGAGGACCTCACAATCACATGGCCGGGTTAGCTGGCTGCTGCATTGCCATTGGCTGCTGCATTGCTGCATTTTAAATTAAAATCAGTGTAAAAAAATTTTTTTTATATACTTAGATCATATATATATATATATATATATATATATATATATATATATATATATATCTACACATACATACATACAGACACATATACATACACTGTCTAGGTGTATTTTACCATTAATAAATATATATATATATAATATATATTTATTTATTAATATCAAATTACACGTAGACTGATACTGATTAAATATATATAATTATTGTTATATATATATATATATATAATTTAAAAAATGTAAATACGTTAAAAAATAAAATAAAAAAATAATTTAAAAAATAATTAAAAAATATATAGATGTGTTTTATTTCATTCTAACTGTATTGTGATATTAATATATATATTTATATCAAAATACACGTAGAACGAAATAATATATATCTATATACATAAATATGTAAGTATATATCACTATATATAAATAAAAATATTTTAAAAATTATATATATATGAAACAAGGGGGTGTGGCTGCACTCACCTGAGCATGCATAAATGGGGTGCTGCTGGGGGCCAAATTATACAATACACAAGATCCAGCGCACTGTATTGTATAATTTGGCCCCCAGCAGCACCCCATTTATGCATGTTCAGGTGAGTGCAGCCACACCCCCTTGTTTCAAATATATATTTGGGAGTATAGCCAACTCCTTGGTTTTGCACCCTTCCCTGTCACAGGTGCCGCATCCTAGGGCCCTATTTAGCCTTGTACTGCAGAGAGCCCCAGATGGATTTTTTTTCCCCCCAAGTAAGTGGGTTAATCTCATAAGAGCAGACATTAGGCTGTTCGAGTAAGACCTGCCAAAGATTCGGTACATTGATGTTGTGGCAGGCTTATGCAATGTATGATCATATAATGTAACTAAACCCCCATTATTTTTGCCTAGATTAGGTGTTTTTAAAAAAACAAAATCTTTCAACATTGAAGTTGCTGTTTAGTGGATAGGTGAGTGCGCTTGATCTTGTGATAGATAGATAGAGATATTGGACTTTTTAAGTCTAATTCTTATTAGTGCACGGACTTTGCTTTACCTTTTTATTGTATTTTATTATACTATTTTAATATCCACTTATTTTACATTTTTATATTTTATTTAATTTTTATCCAGCACAGCCCTTCACCACTTCTTTCTTTTTTCTACATCTTATTAGGGTTCTTGAGGGATTCCCTTTTGAGGGTTGCAGGTCTTATCTTTGCTATCTCGCAGCCCCTTTTATATATATATATATATGTATATATATATATATTTTAATGTTATATATTTTTACATAATTAAGTATTTTAATTAATTACAATTAGCGGGACCTGCCTGACAATCCATGCTGAAAGTACAGGGAATTTAATTTGCTAGCACTATATTGAACCCTATAACTTTCCAAGACACCACAAATCCTGTACATGGGGAGTACTGTTTTACTCGGGAGACTTCGCTGAACACGATTATTAGTGTTTCAAAACAGTAAAATGTATTACACAATGATATGCCAGTAAAAGTGACTTTTTTTTGCATTTTTCACACACAAACGATATTATTGCTGTGATACTTTTTACTGTTTTGAAACACAAATATTTGTGTTCAGCGAAGTCTCCCGAGTACAACAGTACCTCTCAAGTACAGGTTTTATGGTGTTTTCAAAGGTTACAGTGTCAAACATAAGGCTTGTGCTTCATTTTTTTCACATTAAGAATTCACAAGATTGGTTACGTTACCTTTGAGACCCTATGGTAGCCCAACAATGAACATTACCCATATGATGGCATACCATTTTCAATAGTAGACAACCCAAGGTATTGCAAATGGGGTATGTCCAGTCTTTTTTAGTAGCAGCTTAGTCACAAACACTGGCCAAAACTGGCGTTTTTTGTATTTTTCACACAAAAACAAATATTAACGCTAACTTTGGCCAGTATTTGTGACCAAATGGCTACTAAAAAAGACTGGATATACCCCATTTGCAATACCTTGGGTTGTCTACTATTGCAAATGGTGTGCCATTATGGGTGTAAATTTCATTCCTGGGCTACTATACAGTCTCAAAGGCAACGTAACCAATCTGGCAAATTTCAATTTCAAATGTAACGTGCTATATTTGACCATGTAACTTCCCAAAACACCATAAAACCTGTACATAGGGGGTACTGTTTTACACGTGAGACTTTGCTGAATACAAATATGTGTATTTTATTTCAGTAAAAGCAAACAGTATTTACATTGACAGTTAAAATGTCATGTAGAACTAAAAAAATAACATTTTATTTTCTCCCATTGTTTTCATATTAAATTATGTTTTATAGCTACAATATTTGATATTAAATGAAAGCCCTGTTTCCCCTGAATAAAATGATATATAATAAGGGTGGGTGCCTTTAATATGAAAGAGGTGAATTACAGTTGGACAGATATGTAGCGCAAATGCCAGGTTTTGTTTATGTTTTTTGTTCACAACGTGTACATTGGGCTCAGTCCTTTAGGGGTTAAAGAAATCTTGATCAGTACCTGGTTAAGGAAAAGTAAATGCAGATGTGAGTTCTGTGATTTTCTGCAAAAGACCAAAGCATTGTTTTGTTTTCCCAATATCTATTTTACAGACATCTTATGAAGTCGATACATGAATTTAATCGGGTAAGTAAGGCATCTTATATTAGGGCATTTGTTTAAAAAAAAAAAAAAAAAGCGCTTGCAAGAATACATTTTCTTTATACAGACTTTAGACAGACTTATGAGACCATTGAATAAATGAGGAAATAAAAGATATGAGTGCCCTTACCATTTAATAAAGAGTAGTAGGAAGTGAAAATATTGTGTTGTTGAAAGGGTTTAAAGAGACAGGAAACTCTTTGCATATTAACATTTACAAGATGCACAAACTGCTGCAAAGTTCTACAACTTGTAGCAACCAGCAGAAATATTTCATTACATTCTATTTGCTCTGTATTTTGTCCCAATATGCCTAAAATTACCTTTCATGAACATCAGAATGGGTGTGCATTACTAGGATTTAAAATAATCTCTAGAATTCCTGGCAAATGTTCACTTTAGCAAATAACCAACATACTGAAATATGGCAACAGATCACAGGATGCAGTGTATGTTTTTATAAATATATAGCATATCTGATCATATGCCACTTAATAAAAAGTTTCTGCACAACTTTGTTACCTAGAAAACACAGCCTACTTCATTTTACTAAAACTCTTACACTAGTTTGTCTGTGGACCCCAGACTGCTTATTAGCTGAAGGCTCTTCCTATATTATCCCTCAATTACAGGCTTATCACAAAGGCCATTAGCTGTCTCCCCTCTGTACCAATCTGTGATCATTAGTTTAACAATGTTACGTCTCTGGATGTGAAGGAAAGTGCTTGAAATGTATCTGCAAGTCATTAAGGGGGGGGGGGTCTCACCTGTGGGTTTGTGGTTTTCTCGAGCTTTTCCCTTTCTGTACTTACAGACATTACCCACGCCTCTGCCCTTTCCTCTCTTATCGGTCCCTCCCATACTGATCTGTTCCTCCCTCAGGCAGAAAAACAATCCCAGGACAGGACGGTCCGGTCCTCAAACTGGGCAGATTCAGGACAGACCGGCCCCCATATTAGGCAACAGTAAACAATGCAGGGACTGTCCTTGACTTCTGTCCCTTAACGACCAGGTTTAACCCCAAACATCTGGAATAAAAGGGAATCATGATATGTCACACATGCCAAGTGTCCTTAAGGGGTTAATTATATTATACCCTCCCAGCCCTGCCATCTGGACTTATCCAACAATGAGAATACAGCCATAAACTCCTATACTGTAAACATGATATCACCAGTCTATAAAAACTGTTACTGGACTATAGCTCCTCACTTAATTTTTTTTTTTTTGTCAGCTAATTGGACATATAAAGTAATGTGTTTATCTCTTGTGGACATGACGTATCAAGGCTAGCTCTCATCTTACAAGCCCCAGCGTCCTCCCCGCGCCTCCCCCCTCCTTTCCCTGTTTGTTTTTAGCAACATAAAATGGCTGCCGGTTACTATCCTCGTGTACGCACGCTCCGCATTCCTGCGCATGCGCTCTGGAGCGTCCGTCTGGGCTATGGGGGGGGGGTCCGCGCGTGATGACGTCATGACCCCCCCAAAAGTAAAGATGGCGACGGATGTAGTGGTCCTCGGTGATGGCATCAGAAAACGGGTGACCACGGTGGGCAAAGAGCCGATCTCGGAGTTTAGGAATGGCACCAAGGTAAGAGTGCGCGTTTTAATGGCCAATCATGGAGGGATCTCGAGAGAGCACTCTGTCACTCACTAGGCAGGATGGTGTAATATTTACCATCAGTCTGGCAGAGGAGCTCGGTCACAGTGAGTTAATATCGGCAGCTTTGTAATTGGTTATATTTCAGGTTACCATGGTTGCTGTTTAGTGGAGCCCTATATAGTTACAATGTCTGCAGGGGAGCAGTCACTCGCTTGTCTTACTCCATCCGGGTATATGTTTAAACACCGCAATGGGACTCGCTGAAGCAGCAAACCATGTCCTAAAGAAGTGGCTTTGGTCCTAAGTGTCCCTTTTGTGACCCCGTGTCCCTTTTGCCCCTTCTCTGAAAATCTGCAATGTTTACATTTCGCCTTGCAGACAGCCACCAGAGGTGCTTTCTCATTCATTTGCATGAAGCCCTATGCTGATAAAAGTATGTTCAAAGGAACATCATCATCATCATCATCATCATCCTGAGAACCAGAAATTAAAGTGACTCTATCCCCCTTGCATGCACCAAATACCTCTTCTGCAGCCCCATTAAAAATAATAATAAATTAAGCAAAACTTAGTTTTAAAGCAATACATAAAGATTATGTATGGAGGAAGTCTCGCACCCATTCACGTTATCCATTATAGATTTATATTGTGTTCATACAGCACAGCTCTCCACCTTACATCTCTTTCTCAACCACATGTAGATCATGCCTTTCCTACCCTTCAGACATTCTCCCTGGCTACTGAACAAGAGGTGGCTGCGCTTCTCCTCTCCTCTCCTTGATCCTGTCCCGCCTCACCTTTTCAGATTTCTCTCCCCTTGTCTTGTGCCTTCCTTTACACACCGCTTCAACTGCTCTCACTCTTCTAATGTTGTCCCTCATGATCTTAAACATGCCACGGTAGTACCCATCCTGAAAAAAAAACCCTCGACCTGTCCTCCCCTTCTAACTATCGTCCCACATCATTGCTCCCTTTTCCTCAAAGCTTCTGCAAAGACTTGTCTTTACCCATATTTCTCACTTCCTCAATTCTAACTCTCTTCTTGACCCTCTTCAATCTGGCTTCCGCCCCTCCTCTCTACTGAGACTGCTCTTATCAAAGTTACTAACAACCTAATAACAGCCAAATGCCACTACTTCATACTAATTCTTCTTGACCTCTCTACTGCCTTTGACACTGTTGATCATGCTCTCCTTCAAACTCTTCAATCACTTGGATGCTGTCCTCTTGAAGTTTTCCTCTTATTTTCCCCAACACTCATTCAGTGTCTCCTTTTCTAATGATACCTTCTCACTTCGTCCTGTCTCGATTGGAGTCCCCCAAGGCTCTGTCCTTGGTCCCCTTCTATTTTCTCTTTATACTGTCTCTTTTGGCAAACTTATTACCTCATTTAGATTCTACAAATATATATCTCCTCCCCGGACATCTCCCCTGCTGTCCTGCAACATGTCACTGCTTGCCTTTCTTCCATTTCTGACTGGATGTCCTACAGCTTTCTGAAACGTAATCTCTCTAAAACTGAGCTCCTTATCTTTCCTCCTCCTACTACTGATCATCCAGTTTCAGCTCTCCCTTCAAGTTAGTGGTATCCACATCAGTCCATTCTTGCAAGCGCGCTGTCTTGGCGTTAAACTTGATTCTGGCTTCACATCCAGTATGTTACCAAATCCTGTAGATTCCATCTTAAAAACATAGCCCGCATTCCGCCCCTTTCTTACACAAGATGCTACTAAGGAACTTGTCCGTGCTCTAGTAATATTTTGCATTTTTGGATATTGTAATCCTCTCCTAATTGGTTTTCCCAAAATCCATTTTGCCCTTCTACAGTCTGTAATGAATGCTGCCTCCAGACTCCTTTTCCTCTCCAGTCGGTCCTCTCACACCTCACCCTGTCAGTCATTACATTGGCTTCCTGTGTCATCTAGGAGTCAATTTAAAGTACTAACCCGTCCCTATAAAGCACTGAACAATTCTACCCCGTCTTATATCTCTTAACAGATCCATAGGTATGCCCCTTCTTGTTCTTTCTGCTCTGCCCATGACTCCTTCTGTCTGATGCTCGCACCCGTACATCCAACTTACGCTTGCAGGACTTCTCGTTGGCGGCTCCCTTCCTTTGGAATAGCCTGCCTACCGCCATCGAGACTCTCCCCTAGTCTTCAATCATTTAAGAAGTGCTTTAAAACCCATCTCTTTAGGAAAGCGTATGGCCTCCCAGAGTAACCTCTACGTCACATACCTGTTCCTTGCTCTCTCCTAAAGGGCAGCGCTCTGCTTCACCCCCACCTTTATTTAATTGCTATCTTCTGTCCTATTGTGTTTTAACCTCACCTCCTATAGACTGTAAGCTCGTTTGAGCAGGTCCTCTTTAACCTATTGTTCCTGTAAGGTGGTTGCTTTTTTTTTTGGTTCTTTTTATTGTCTTATAATTAAATCCCCCTCTCATAATATTGTAAAGCGCTACACAATCTGTTGGCACTATATAAATGCCAATAATAATATTATACTTTTAGGTTTACAAAGGGTGGAGCTTTAGACAATAACCACACGCTTTAACAACTTTGTCATTTGGTGCACTTGCCTCCTTCCAGCGTCGTGACACTGGGTGTTAATTCTCGAACTGTCCCCTTAATAAAAGAAAATCATTATATACACAAATCTACTCAGTGAATGAAACTTATTTGTGTGTGTATGTATGTGTGCGTATTTTAATTCTAAATGTATTTTGATATTAATACACTTAGAATGATATATATACACACACAAGTTATACATGTATATTTAAATATTATTTTTACATAAAAAAAATTATTTATATATATATATATATATATATATATATATATATATATATATATATATATATATATATATATATATATATATATATATATATAAATTTTTTTTTTTTAATTCTATATTGAGCATCCTGCCTGACAATCCACACAGAAAGTCTAAAGAACTTAATTGGCAAACCCCTGTATTTAACCCTGTAACTTTCCAAAACACAAAACTTGTACATGGGGAAAGCTGTTGTTACTCATGAGACATCGCTGAACAGAAATGAGTGTTTTACAGTAGTAAACCGTATAATGTGAAAAATGCAAAAAATATGAACACTAACTTTTGACCAGGTTTGTGATTTGTCTATTAAGAAGACCGGACATACCCCATTTTGAATAGCCTTGGTTGTCTACTTTTGCAAATTGTATGCCATGATTTTCATTTCTGGGAGCCTCAAAGACACCATTGGCCCATAGGCCCAGCAAACTAATTTGGCAAATTAAAGTGTGTAAAAACTGAAATGGGCAAGCCCTACATTTGACCCTGTCATTTTCCAAAACACCATAAAACCTGTACATTTCACAGCAAATATTATATGGAACACAATTTAATATGAAATAAAATGTAAAGAAATTTCTGCATGGTATTTTACCTGTGAATGTCATAATACTGTACTGGTAGTTTTTAATGAAATAAAACACAAAAATATGTATATGCGGTCATGTTGCACAAGTACAACACTTGTACATGTTTGTGTTCCTGACTCTCTCATGTTCCTTTTAAGGATAGAAGTGCCCCCATCCATACATTTTGTTTTTTAAAGGATTAAATAGAAGAAAGGTATTTATTTTAAAGCGACATTTTAGTCACCAGCTTAATGTAGTTGTTCTGGTGAGTATAATAGTTCCCTTCAGGCTTTTTCATGCAAACACTGCCTTTTCTGTGAAAAGGCAGTGTTTACATTGCCTCTAGGGACACCTCCAAGTGGCCACTCTTTAGATGGCCACTGGAGGTGCCTTCTGGGTCAGTGCTTCCAAAAAAGCAGCCTTGATGTTCAGCGTCCCCACTCTCTGCATGGAGACACCGAATTTTCCTCATCGTGGCTAAAGAATCGTCCATTTTGATGTCACAAAGGGGACAGAGCCAGAATCAGCGGACCCGCGTGGCGCTGTAAATAAGGTGAGTTTAACACTATAGGGTCAGGAATACATGTTTGTGTTCCTGACCCCATGGTGTTCCTTTAATAAATGTTCAAGTAGTAGACTTTTTTTTTTTTTTTTTTTGGGGGGGGATGGGCAAACTGACATTCGGTTCAGAGAAAACGATAATTTTTGCAGCATCCAAGTCTAGATGACACAATGTTTTATAGAGTGGGAATGTAGGTAGCTCGAGCATATGGAGGAGTAAGTGTATTAGGAACATTTCCTAGACACAGGAAGTGGAGCTTACTCAGGCATAAGAAAAGTTTGTTTTCCTGGCACTATAGTGGTCCTTTAATAGTTAGAAAAATCATTTTAGAATTTTATCCAAAAATATTAAATCTATGCCTTAATTTGTGAGATCCATGAGCTGGTATTTAACATTCACACCCTAGGATACCCTTTACCCATATGCCCATAATTATAGCTAATAGCCTTTGTGCTGTTTCACACGCCGCCCTGGTACATTTTGGCAATCTATGGTGGAGCCAGTAATTGCACCATAACAATATTCAGTGAGTAAGAGTGCCAGGTTGGAATCCCAGGGACTGATCTAACACACGGATTGTGACACTATAACCGGGGTCTGTACCACTGTAGACCACACTTTTCCTGTCCTGTCTCCCCCCATTATTAATATAAAGTGGTATAAAATTGTTACATTTCTTGTATTCTTCAGGCTACATTCCATTATTGTACGGTGCTCTGTGATGAAAAGCGCACAGTGGTTGATGACAGCTCTGAAAGAGGCAAACCTATGGAACTGATTATCGGCAAAAAGTTCAAACTTCCTGTATGGGAAAAGATCATCCAGACCATGCGAGAAGGGGAGGTTGCTGAGTTTCTTTGTGACACTCCGGTATGGATTGAAATACATACATGTAAAATACGTGGAATGAGATTGGCGAAACTGGGCATTCAAACAATTATTCTGATTTTATTTTTTTATTTTATTTAAATTCTTAGCATGTTGTTGAATATCCACAAGTGTCTCGTAGTCTGCGCAGAATTGCAGAAGGACAAGACCCTCGTGATGGCCAAAGACATTGCTGTGGGGGCATTGCTCAGCTTCATGACCATTCACTTGGATATACCGACCTGGATGATTTGCAGAAAGATCCTCAGCCTCTTATTTTCATAATAACCATTTTACAGGTATTTCCCATGAACGTTTTTTTTTTTTTTTCTTTGCTGTCTTAATTGCATATTCATACATTGGTGCTGTGTTCATAATGCATCTTATATTCCAATGAATAAGTGAATATTAGGCATAATTAGCAGGTTAGATATAACGCTTAAACATCATCTGAAGACTAAAACTGATAGAGAGTACAGATTTTATCAGGTAGACCTAATCAGGGCATGGCTACAATTTGACTTTTTTCACTGCATTTGCTTGTAGTTCAACACATATATTGACACTATTCTAAATTCCTCTTGTAACATCATCAGGATGTCAAGGAGACGGCCAAGTTTCCTACCTCACCTGCATTTAAAAATAGTTCAAATTGATTCAAAGTGTTTCTAATAAAGATTGCTGCAAATGCATTCTGTGTCCCAGTGCTCTGATAGAACTAAAATCATAAGTAATTTATGACTTCAAAGCAGTTTGTGTTTTTTTTTTTTTTTTTTACGAACCATTTTCGTCGACTAAAACAATTCAGATTACTAAAATATTCCTCAAACTAAAATGGTAAAAGACTATGACTAAAACTAAATTAAAATGTAGTTTGTCATAGTCTGCCATAATTAATACTGCACAGAGGGGCTGTGAAAGGGGCCAAAGAGACTGTTTGGAGCCATAGTGAGGATAACTTGTTTTTAATCTGTTTAATTCCCAAAATGTAGTAATATAAACAAAATAGGAACAACTCAATTTAACCCTTTAAAGAACCAAGGCTTTTTTTTGAAATGCAACACCTTTGTGACCAAGCCCTTTACAGCACTTTTGCCACGCGTTCATTCTGCCACAATGTCCCATTTTCTGTATATGTGCACCCATACATATTATATATTCCTTTTGAATGGAGAAATGGGGCTCTTTTGTTACCCTACATGTATACATAGGGAAATATTAATATTCTATAAAACCCATATATGGTCCCACTCAAATAGCTGGCTCAGACTTTGTAACTTTGTCAACCAAAGGATGAAGTGGATGTTCCTTGGAAATCTGTTCACTGCAGCTCCCCACTTGTTTTTCAGTAACTTAAGCCTTATTAACTCCATTATACAAGGTAAGTATAGGGATAACAATTTATTGAAGCACTTAAAATACACTAGATTCCATACATAGAAACACGTAGTCCACCTCACTTAATGCGTTTCCAAGCCTCTCTAAAAGTGTCCAGTGTGGTTTTATATAATATTGGTGTTTTACTGTATTACCTTATGGGCTATTAAAAAAAAAACATTTTATTTAAAATTTTATTTGTGTATAGATGTGGCATGGCAAGCCTGATTGCCATAACGAGATAATACTGCACGTTTTTATGAAATATAAAGCACTGTAGTTATATTGAGTTATGATATGAAAAGTAAAGATGCTATAACATGCTTATGTTGGTAGCCTAAGACTGTCAGCTAAACTGCACATTGTGAGCTGGTCAATAAGACTGGTTTGTCCAGTTCAGGTAATAACTGGCTACTCTAGAAGTTACAAGTCACTGTGGTCCGGAGCACTAAGTATCCAGGGAGAGTTACTACCCGATCTGGGCTGCCTGTTTGCGTCTTTGGAGCTTTTCCCAGAAGCTGTTGAACAGGTCATCTAGGCCCTGCTTGATGTCCGCAGCATGATCATAGCAGTACGTAGGATTTGTGAGTTGGTGCGGCTTGTGTGGGGAGTGCTCAGCCGCCATTGTGTGTGAGCCTCGTGAGTCAATGTCTCTGAAGCTTGTGTACCGCTATGGGGTCGATCCAGACAGATAACTCCGTTAGGCCTGGGATATCCCCCACAGGTCCAAAGGGGGGTGGTGTGGGAGTTGAGGTACTTCCCACACAAGTGAGGAGAGCGGCCGCTTCTCCCCGCATGCTCTTCTGTAGGCCTCATCAGCTGATTTTGGGTTCCCAGGTGGGTAGAAAGAAGATTCAAATGTTCAAGAGTTCACCTGGGTATCCACTGGCGTACATACCGCAGTCGCATGGGGTACCCACCATAATCTTTTGCTGTGCGCTTTAACAGTGCAACCGGTCCCCCTGTGATGAGATCGCACAGAGCTGGGAGGAAGTGACCGCACGTCACTCCTCCCAGCATACAGAGTCCACGCGGGAGGAAGAACAGGGAGTCAGAGTGGGAACTCTGACTCCCATCCACCTGAACTACCACTGGATCCCAGGGAAAGTCATGAACATAACACCAAAGGTAAATATAAAAACAAAATACCAGTGTGTGTGTGTATATATAGTAAGATGGGCTCTGATTTCTAAACACATGTACATAAACCCAATTGTAGCGCACGTCTGCGCAAAAAGAGAGGGGGAAGAATATACAAGTGCCACCAATGATGCACGATAAGATAAGAGATAGTAGTGAATCGTGCAGCCTGTATGTCCGATCACTATATATATTAATTGGTATATATAATAAATGTGTATAGATTGGTGTATATATATTTTAAAAAAAGGCACCTCAAAGTTCAAAACTGCGCACTGTTGGCGCTCTGAGAGTATGTATATAGGAATGATGAGTTTGCGCCCCTAAACATGTATCATTAAGTCAAAAGTAACCTACGACACTGAAAGTTCGTTGTGGTCCTATGATATCTAATTATGTGCGATGTATAATGACCAATCTCTAGAAAGGAGCTTTGCTAGAGGGTGACAGACAATAATAAAACGAAATAAAAAAAAATAAAGTAAAGCACGTTAATGAACTGCACCATAGAGTATATGTATCGGCAGACCAGGGTTCTAAACGGCATACAGCCGGCGCTCTGAGAGTGTGTGTCTTTGAATAATAAGGGTGCAACCCTGAACATGTATCAAAAAGTAGCCAACAACACTGAGAATTCAATGTTGCACTATTATATCAAGTTAAATACAATATGTGATGACCAATGCTAAAAGGTGACTGAAAAAGTAAAGCAAAATTGAAGAAATGATGAATAAGAAATAAATAAAGGTGGAAGAATAGAGTGCAAGATAACTGTACTAATACTCTGTACCCTAGAGTGGTAAATGTGCTATACATACTAAGCTGTCTAGCACTAAACTGATGATTAGAAGAAACTAACACAGCGGCAAACGCTCCACCGCCGTGCATTCAAGGGCACCTGAATCTCACCCCACTCAGATATACATAATCCGAAATCAGAGAGAAAATAGCCTATTCTGATAAGAGAGAAACGGCATGTATAGAGCCGTGCTGCCCCTAAAATTACCTTGGGTGTATTCAAGAAACAGGAGGGTGACTTAAACAATTTGTGTTTGGTGTGTTTGTTTTTTGTTTTTTTTTTGTGTGTGTGTGTCTGTCTGTATGTATATATGTGTGCCGGTGTTCTATCAGTTTGGTATACCCCGTCAGATTGCTATACCCACGTCACTTCCGGGGAGGGGAATCAGCTGTCTCCTGTGCTGCACATGCGTGCTAGCACTCCTGCTACTCCTCCACAGCAAGGTCCTGGAAGGTAAGTAAAACTAGTTTTACACTTTCATTATAGTTAGTGCATTCACTAAGCTTAGGGCATGGGACATTTAGGGTTAATATTAGGGTTCAAATTAGGGTTAGGATTAGGGACTTGTTCCTATTTAGTGATATTTCACATTAGGGGAATATCACTAAATAGTGAATTCTCACACTTTATTTTAACCCTTACCCCAAGGGTTAGGGTAAGAATAGAGTGTGAGAGAGGTTAGAAGCACTTACCTAACCCTAATTTGAACCCTCACCTAACCCTAAATGTCCCGTGTGCCTAAGCTTAGTGAATGCACTAACTATAATGAAAGTGTAAAACTAGTTTTACTTACCTTCCAGGACCTTGCTGTGGAGGAGTAGCAGGAGTGCTAGCACGCATGTGCAGCACAGGAGACAGCTGATTCCCCTCCCCGGAAGTGACGTGGGTATAGCAATCTGACGGAGTATACCAGACTGATAGAACACCGGTCTGTGTGTCTGTCTCAGGGGAATAGGGAAGGGGGGGACCCATGAATGAGTTTCGCACCGGGGCCACATGGATTGTGTGTACGCCCCTGCGGTATCCCCAGTACAACAAAAAAAAACTTCAAAGGGCGGTCGTGCCAAGTTTCTGTGGTGTTTTCCCCCATATTAGGTTTTTTTTTTGGGGGTTCTGGAGCTTAATTTCTGCATGTCCACTCCCCCCCTACCATTTTTTTTTTATTTTTTATTATTTAATTTTTTTTATAGGCTTTAAAACTGTACAGATTGGGGTAAAAACCTTGCTTTTATTTTGTGCTCTCTCTCTATTCTATTGATTCTTTTTGCACTTTATTTCTGTGTTTGGGTGAACACATAGGTGATAATAGCACCAATTTATAATACCCTAAACTAATCCTTTAATTTATTGTGTATAAGGTTAAATTTGGAGGGGGGGGGGGGGTAAATTTCACTTTTAATAACTTTTATAAACCAACTGCAACTAAAGAAAACTAACTCAATAGATTTACTAAAACTTTACAATATTTAGCGTGCAGAGATTACAATGGTTATAGTAGTCACAGAATCGATAACCGCTAAACAAATCTACATATTTGTAGAAAGCACATACCCCAGGTTATGTAACGAAGGGAGTATGTTCTTTCTACAAGTAAAATAAAACCCCTTCAGTCACTTATCTGAATCCCTCAACGATGTCAGCCGGCAGGGGTGACCTAATGCACATGGGCATATTATTCAGTGCATTCCTATGGGTAAACATCTGACACTGGAGGTCCTCATGCAGATGATGACGTCCAGTGTCAGATACCGGAACAAAGATCTGTTTCAAACCACAAAGTCCAGACAGCCACTGAATGTGGAGTTAACCCTCAGAGGTAATTATTGTAGTTTTTTAGAAACTGCAATAATTACCACTGTAGGGTAAAGGGACAAGGCACCCAGACCACTTCAATGAGCTGAAGTGGTCTAGGTGCCTACTGCAAGCGCGAGTTTGCCGTACGGGTGAGAGCGAAGGGAATGAGCAGGGGCATACCTCTGGATCTGTGAAAAGATATGAGGGGCTAGAATTGTTCAGTGCTTTATATGTATGGGTTAGCAGTTTTAATTGATTCCTATAGGATACAGGAAGCCAGTGTAAGGACTGACAGAGGGGTGAGGTGTGAGAGGACTGAGGAAAATCAGTCTGGCGGTGGCATTCATTAGAGACTGTATACGGCTTTTGGGAAGACCAATCAGGAGAGGGTTACAATAATCCATGCGGGAAATTACTAGAGCATGGACAAGCTCCTTTTGTAAGAAAGGGGCTGATGCAGGCTATGTTTTTAAGTTGGAATCTACTGGATGTAAGGCCAGAGTCAAGTATGACAACAAGACAAGCGCGCTTGCAAGAATGTACTTATGTAGATACCACTGACTTGAAGGGAGAGAAAATAGAAGGGACCAAGGCCAGAGCCTTGGGGAACTCCAACCGAGACAGGACGAGGGGAGGAGGTATCCTTGGAAAAGTAAACTATAAATGAGCGTTGGGAGAGATAAGAGGAAAACCACGAGATGGCAGAGTCACAGAGACAGATTGATTTGAAGAGTTTGAAGGAGGAGAGCATGATCAACGGTGTCATATGCAGCAGAGAGGTCAAGAAGAATTAAGGTGGAGAAGTGGCCTTTGGATTTAGCTGTGATTAGGTCATTAGTAACTTTGATAAGAGCAGTCTTAGTAGAGTGGAGAGGGCAGAAGCCAGATTGAAGAGGGTCAAGCAGAGTTAGAATCGAGGAAGTGAGAAATATGGGTAAAGACAAGTCTTTGCAGAAGCTTTGAGGAAAAATGGAGCAGGGATATGGGATGATAGTTAGAAGGGGAGGACAGGTCAAGAGATTTTTTTTTCCTTTCCTTCAGGATAGGCACTACAGTGGCATGTTTAAGGTCAGCAGGGATAATGCCAAAAGAGAGAGCAGTTGAAGATGTGTGAAGGAAGGCACAAGACAAGGGGAGATAGATCTGATGAGGTGACATGGGATAGTATCGAGCGGGCAAGTGGTGGGGCGCGAGGAAAGGTTGTTCTGGTGAGTATATTCAGTCCCTTCAGCCTTTTTCCAGTAAACATTGCTTACATTACAGCCTAGTGAAAACTCCACTGGCCACTCAGATAGTTACTAGAGGTGCTTTCTGGGGCAGTACTGTCATTCATTGTCTCCTCCCTATGCATGGAGACATTGAACTTTCCTCAGAGATGTATTTATTCAATTAATCTCTATGAGATGCTGATTGGCCAGGGCTGTTTGGTTCTGCCTCCTTGACAGTTTCACCCAATCCTATGGGGACTTATTGTGATTGGCTCAGAACAGCAGCAGCTGCAGACTTGAACAAAAGTAAGATTTACTATATTCGGGGTGGGAGGGGGTGCTAGAGGGTGTTTGTCACTACAGGGTCAGGACTTCATATGTGTTCCTGACCCTGTAGTGTTACTTTGACCTGACTTTACGAACGCCAACAGTTTTCACTTTAGTAAATATCCTTTATAGTGAAAATTTTTGTTTCTGACACCATCCTGTTGTTGTGTAATAGAACATTTCCCTCTCTGCAGATACAGGAACCTGGTACATACAGACAGGATGCCTGGGCCATGTCTGATGAAGAGAAACTGGATGCTGTGCCACTTCTCCACCAAGAAGGAAATCAATTGTACAAAGAAGGGAAGGTTGCTGAAGCAGCTGCCAAATATTATGAGGCTATTGCCTGCCTTAAGTCCTTGCAAATGAAGGTGCTTTATGAAGCTTTACTGAAATATGTTTCCTTTCCCTTTGTATTAAATTATTAATGCCTCTTCTGAAATTTAGGAACAGCCAGGTTCTCCGGATTGGATTGATCTGGATTTGAAGATTACGCCACTTCTGTTAAATTTTTGCCAGTGCAAATTGCTTCAGGGCGAATACTACCAGGTTTTGGAACACTGTTCATCAATACTCAACAAGTACTCCGGTAGGTATTTTCCCCGTTTCCAATTCACATTAAATGGCACATGTACCACTGCAGTTTTGTTATAAATATATTGACTATGAAAAATATATTTAAATCTGAGTATTACTGTGGATGTTCATACTATTGAGTCATAGACTTATCTACAGACTACTGCTGCTCCTCTCCTGAGCTGATCCAATCACAATGTCTGGATTTTGTAAATCAGGCATCAAACAGGCCTGAATTGGAGGGGGAGGAGAATTTAGTATGAACCTGTAAAATGTGTACACAATGGCAAAACAGCATTAGCATTTAAGGAATGGAACATTTTAGTTGAAGAAAGGTTAACAAATGTATAAATCTTTAGGTCAAAGGTGGTGTTGCAGCAATATAAGATCTCTGTATGTGCAGCATTTCATACGTTGCACATAAAGACTCCAAGCAACATAACCACTTCAAAACACCAAAGTGATCATGGTACTTAGAGTACATGTAAACTGGTACTGTGTTGCATTGTAGGTGCGACTCTAGTGGTTATTAATGGTTTTTCTCCCCTCTCACAGACAATGTAAAAGCATTATTCAAAAGAGGTCGTGCTCATGCTGCAGTATGGAATGCATCAGAGGCAGAGGAGGATTTTTCCAGAGCAGTGTCTCTTGACCCATCCCTTGCACCACTTGTTGCCAAGGAACTAAAACAGCTAGGGGAGCGTCTTCATGAAAAAGAATGTGAGGACAAAGCAAGATTTCGAGATATCTTCAAATGACTGTATTAGACCATCTTTATGCCTGTGTAGTACTATCCCAGTCTGTATGGAAACAGTGTATTATTTAGACATGTGAATGGCACCATCTTATATTGTTGCTTAATTGTTCTGCAGCCATTTTGTGACAAGGCATGTGGTATCATCTTCACCCTATAGGCAGAGGAAACAAGTCTCACATGGAAATTCTAGCCAATAAAAAAGGGAGAATTATATTACTGTGATACATACATGCAAAGAAATAGGTCAGAGCAATGCATTTTTTGTGCTGCTTTAAAATTAAGATATCATTGGGCAACAATGCAGTTAATGTACCAGTTGACGTGCACAGTCACACATGATCAAGTGTAAACTTTATTTATTAAAAATAAAAAAAAAGCAAAGTGTTTTACAGAAAGTGCGGAACGCTAGAAAGGTCACGTGCGTGCATTGCGCTCTGTTTCAGCAAGGCATTCTCTCACAAGAGCTCTGGCATGGATTATACCTGGAATAAAAATAAAACAAGTAGGTATACCAGACTGTATAATAAGCCTGTATGTAAAATAGAATTCAGACATAGTATAATCATATGATTACATTACATGAGTCCTTACCTCTCTTCAATCTTTCCATTGCACTTTTACTTCCTGCATAAGTAGGTCTGATTTCTCTTCCCATCTCCTCAATCACAGACAATAGGTCACTGTAGGTGCCTTGAGAAACTGCTTGTGAAACAGCTGGCTTCACTCCCTACCAAAGAAGAAAAAAAATAATAATAATTAGGTAAACTTTTAAAGTTGTCAAACCCAATATATTTGTAATCTATATCTACACTTTATTTTCTATTGTTTACACATACATATTGCTGCATGCAACTATTTATTAAAGTACACAGATGTTGTTTGTGTTGGTATACAGAGACTTTATGCAAGACCGGGCTCAAATAAAATCTGAGAACTACTTGTTCACTTACAAAAGGGCTTTAAAGTAACAATCTAAGCTACATAACCATTACATCATGGTTATGATGCTGTAGGAGTGCCCTGGCACCAGCCCATAATCCAAGCTGTCAAACAGTTTTAGTATTGTTTGACAATTTACGCGGGTGCTACCAGGAACCTGCATCTGGTCTTCTCCAAGAGGAGAAGCAAGAGGTCTGTAGAGTTAAGCGTTGCTGATGCAGTATTGTGCCAATTCGGAGTGCTCAGCTGTCAGGACAGAAAAGGAGCAGTTTTCTTTAAAGGCCCACTATACTATAGTTGTGAGCCAGATTGAAAAGCAATACGGACATTGGATTCTTCTCGACCATTGGACATATTTAATATAATACTAGAAATGGCCATTTTAGCCAATATATGACTTTTTTTTTTTTACTTGCAATTGCCTTTTGAGTTTTTCTGTCAGACAAAAAAATAAATAAAATGCCTAGATCTAATATACACATATTAAACTTCAAGCTGTATTTGTTCTGGTTTTCCTATCTCTACCATATATTTAAATCCCTTTAGTGTATTTACTTCTACAGCTTTTGCTTGAACAATATTCAAGGCATCTATTACTATTTTAGTGAAAGACTCTTATCGTCACTTCTATGTAAATTACACCATTTAATAAAACAATGAAAAATCATCTATAGCGTGTGCTAATATTCTTTTATGTGGTGCTTGGTTTACTTATGTGTATTGAAGATTCAGTACTTGACATAATCTAGTTCAATCCTGGTACATAAAGTTGTTTGTCATATTTTAGTAATCTTAAATTGTTTGTCGACTAAAATCTAATGGGCTTACTTCCCTAGCCCCTCCGTGTGTGTGTCCTACCAGCCCCTCTAGGTATCTCTCCCAAGCCCCGGTCTGTCTCTTTTGTCCCTTAAACAGCTTTGCAGTGTTAATTTTGGCAGCAAACTTTAATTTAGTTTTAGTCATAGTCTTTGGACCAAAAAGCCATGTTTGTTCTAGTTGTATTTTAATTATCTGAATAGTTTTAATTTTTAGACTAAATTTCAAAAAATTTTGTTGACTAAAATTGAACTAAAATTGTTAGTCGACAAAATTAACAAAACTGAAAATTGAGTGATTACATGTTCGGAAAATTGATAAGGCACTTACTATGGAAAGCAGCAGGTACAATCCATTGTTTACTACTACTTTTTTTACATCTTTGTACACAATACATTTGTTAAGTCTCACCATAGAGAAACTACCACAGCCAAATTATTTCCATAGGATGCTGGAGAGTCATCAGGCATCCCTGTGCATGCTTACTCTGGCATGTACCACTGCTGCCAATCCAGCAATTCCTGGTGAGAGGTAGCCCAAGGCATCTGAGCCAGGCCTGCACCTGGGTATGTGGTTTGCCTTGAAAGCAAGGCAATATGGCAATATACATTGGTAATTTCTGACTGTGTCACCTAAAGTGGTGACATCAGCTTTAAGGGTTTCTGCAAAATGAGCAAAATCCCCAAAGGTGAGCGCACTGCTATAACTTGTATTGTTTTACTGATGACAGGCAGATGCACCTGCAGAAATGTGAAGCCTTCTAGGTATATGCTAGATCTTAACAGACAGAAGGCAATATAGAGATATATAAACACACACATATACACACATTGCAATGGCCTTACGCATAATTTGGAAACCTAAAAAGTGAATGCTCTATACGTTCATTGATGACATTACAGTAGAATTGTTAAAACAATTAAGAGCTGCTGTGAGATTTATTTTGTTTCCCTTTTTAAACTCTCTTTTATATATGTAGTAATGTAGTTGTGCTGGTGAGTATAGCATGTTCCTGCAGGCTTTTTTTCTGAGAAAAGGCAGTGTTAACATTACAGCCTAGGAATACCTCAAGTGACTATTCCTTATTTAGATGCTGAACTTTCCCCAGAGGTGCAATTAATCAATTCTAAAGATGTTGGCCAAGAGAGCGGAGTCAGTGCTGGCAATAAGGTGAGTTGTTACTATATTTAAGGGGGCCAATGGGGCTAAATATTGTTTTTTATTACCACTATAGGGTTAGGTTTGTGTTCCTTTACAATTTTATGCTACTAGCCAGAATTCAAGCGTTACTTGCCATTTTCACCATGAGTGAAACACTACATTTTCACTCACGAATGGCTAATGGTGAGTGGATACTTTGAGTTCTGATATACATAAAATAATTTTAAATCATTTTCTATTAACCAGACCTACTATAGGCTACTAACAAAATTACTCGCCACTACAAGTCTGGTGGGTGGCTATTGTGGCGTTTAGAGTTACCATAAAGGAAAGAGAAATTACATACGTCAGAAGTTTGTGTGGACCACATTACAATTGGTCTCTGTAAGCCTTAGTTACATGCATACACTTCAGACTTTAACTTACTTTTTCACACAAAATGAGTCCAATAATAATAATTAATAGATTAAAAAAAAAATCACAATGTTACAGAAAATTAAATGGTTACTATTACTATGTCATTACTGCTATAAAACAAGGAAGCCCATCTTACCGGAATGAAGCCCATAGATGGAGGCCCAAAATCACTGAAGATGGGACGGAAAGATGACACTGGAACAGCACCTGAGGGAGAGTTCACAGCAGCTCCAGGCACTAAAAATTACGAGACAAAATTACATGTCTTAATGCACCAAATGAAGAATTAAAGTTACATTAACGGTAGGGAGGTCTGCAGCATTTTGTGTGTGAGTAGTGATGGACTGATCTGAGTGGTGCAAGAGATTAGACTTGGACTAGTAACCCTTTCTCTCCCTTCCTCCACCCCATAACCCTTTCTTACACTGCTCCCCTCCCACACTGTCACCCTTTCACACCCTGCCTCCCTCCCTCCCACACTGTCACCCTTTCACACCCTGCCCCCTCCCTCCCACACTGTCACCCTTTCACACCCTGCCCCCTCCCTCCCACACTGTCACCCTTTCTCACTTTGCCCCCCCACTGTAGCCCTTTCTCACTCTGCCCCTCCACCCCCGTAATCCCTTTCTCCACTCTGCCCCCCCCCCCATAGCCTTTCTCCCTCTGCCCCCCATAACCCTTTCTCCGCTCTGCCCCCCATGGCTTCCCTTTCTCCCACTCTGCCCCGTAACCCTTTCTCCACTCTGCCCCCGTAACCTTTCTCCCTCTGCCCCCGTAACCCTTTCTCCTCTGCCCCGTAACCCTTTCTCACTCTGCCCCCCGTGGCACTTCTCCCTCCTGCCCCCGTGAGCTTCCTTTCTCCTCTTTACGTAACCCTTTCTCCCTCCTGCCCCCGTAACCCTTTCTCCACTCTGCCCCGTGGCCAACCCCTTTCTCACTCTGCCCCCCGTAGCCCTTTCTCCTCTGCCCCCGTAACCTTTCTCCGCTCTGCCCCAGTAACCCTTTCTCCACTCCTGCCCCCCCGTAACCCTTTCTCCTCTGCTGCCCCCGGTAACCCCTTCTCCTCACTTTGGCCTTTCTCACTCTGCCCCGTAGCCTTTCTCCCTCTGCCCCGTAGCCTTTTCTCACTCTGCCCCGTGACCCTTTCTCCTCTGCCCCCCGTGGCCAGCTTTCTCCTCTGCCCCCCGTAGCCCTTTCTCACTCTTTTGTGGCCTTTCTCCACTCTGCCCCCGTGGCAACTTTCTCCATGCCCCCCCGGCCCTTTCTCCCTCTGCCCCCGTAACCCTTTCTCCACTCTGCCCCCCCCACTGTAACCCTTTCTCCTCTGCCCCCTGTAACCCTTTCTCCTCTGCCCCCCCCACTGTAACCCTTTCTGCTCTACCCCCTGTAGCACTTTCTCCACTCTACCCCCCTGTAACCCTTTCTCACTCACTGTAACCCTTTCTCCTCTGCCCCCATGACGCCATGCCTTTACAACCCTTTCTCCTCTGCCCCCCCCCTGTAACCCTTTCTCCTCTACCCCCACTGCAACCCTTTTCTCACTCCTGCCCCCACTGTAACCCTTTCTCCTCTGCTTTCCCCCCACTGTAACCCTCTCTCACTCTGCCTCCCCCACTGTAAGCCTCTCTCACTCTGCCTCCCCCACTGTAAGCCTCTCTCACTCTGCCTCCCCCACTGTAACCCTCTCTCACTCTGCCTCCCCCACTGTAACCCTCTCTCACAATGCCTTCCCACTGTAACCGACCAATTAGTTTTAAGACCAGGTCGTAAGAACGGAGCTGGTCGGCAAGTGAGGATTATCTGTATTTGTAAAGTTGTCTGAAGCACCAAAATTACAAAGTTTACATAAAATTAGATAGCTCACTAGTCTTTGTGGGATTACCACAAGGACACCAAAAAGAAGCTATCCACTAAACAGGTCCCTTATTTGGTACCCTTAAATGATGGCAATCCCACAAGGGATGTTTAGGGAGCTATCAACTAAACGGCTGCTGGCCTACATCTGAATTTTACTAGTCGGTTTGTACAAAACAAATAGTTTGGCGGCACCCAAGTCTAATAGAGGCCGCTTTCCCTATCTCCTTGCACTTATACACAGGAATCAGGAGGAAGTGATACAACATCACTGCCTCCCAGCACACAGTCTAAATACAGCCATCAATAATGCAAAGGGAATTATAAAAACCTGTCTCTGCAATATAATCACGCATGGACAGAAAGTTTGATGTGATCTGAATTTCTTATTGTGAAAGACTATTTATGGAAGATACCTTGTGATGTTTTATAAAAAAAAAAAAAAAAAAAATTAGTTTTGTGTAAGCTTCAGAGTAAGCGGTTAAGGTCAGTCCAAACACTATAACCATACAGCTGGCCCATTGTAAGTAGTCAAACTGTTTTTTTATGAGAATTATTGTATCGGACCTTCAAGGAGGAGTTGAGCAGTGGGCAGGGAATTAGAACAAGGTAAGTAAATATTTTTTTAAAATTTACAGCATAGGAGGTGGAGGGACCTGTGCAGCTCTAGGATCATGGACACTAGCAGGTTTGCATTCCTATTAACTTTGGAGTTTCTTTAAAAGGGAGCATAACGCCCCACATTCTGATTTAGCTTGGAATCTATGAACCAACTAAAAAGGTTAGAGCCTTTTTTATTTTTAACAAAAAGCTGTATTTTTATAAAAATAAAATTTTTCAAACTGACACTATAATCACCAGAACCACTACAACTTTATATAGAGATTCTGATATCTATAGCCTGTTCCTGTAGGATTTTCAGAGAAAAGGCAGTTTTTAACATTGCTTCCTAGTAACACCTCTAGTGACAGTCCCTCAGACAGCCACTAGAGGTGCTTCTTAGTTCAGGGCTACACGGTGGGCAGCACTTACATTCTGCATGGAGGCACTAAATGTTCACCATAGAGATGCATTGATTCAATACGAGGAAATGCTGATTGGCACAGAGTGGCGTTTTGCATTGCATGCACAATAGCCTCCCAATGCTTTCCTAAGGGAAGCATTGGATTGGCTGAGATCATCAAGATAGATTATCTCAGCCAAGGAGGCATGACGAGCCACAGAGAGACTGGCATGGGAGAAAAGGTAACTAAAAATGCCTTTCCCATGCGATCAGAGGGAGGCCATTCGGTTAAATAGACACACTGATTTGATACACCCAAATTATTATTTTTTAATTAAAGTCAACCTAGCCTCTCCACCTTTGGGAGAGCTGGAGTGGATCCTTTCCCTGGGGTTTAATGTGGCTGCTGAAATGTTCCTGCTCTTCTTTAGGGATACTGGGGCTGCAGCGACGTCATACACCGGGATCACAGCTGGCAGAGCGAGGGAGCAGTGCACAAAGATTACAGCTTCCTCATCGCCTGACTCCAATCTGCCTCAGCCGGCCACTGCTAGGGGCTTATTCCACAGCCTCTAAACGGGCTGACAAACACCAAAGAATTAGGATAAACTTCCTAGTCGCCATGGTGAACTGGGAACTTGGATTTGTTGAGCCCTGTCCTAGCCAGTCTTTGCACCACCGGCTAGGGAGTCACCATAGCAATCACAGCACATGTGCTGTGGTTGCTATGAGTGGAGAGCAAAAGACTGTCTCTTCTTAATCAGTTCTTCAGTATATGGTCTATGCTGAAGACTTTTAGATGGATAATAGTTTAAAACAGTTTTTTTTCTCCCAATCTATTCACGTGTAGCAAAACTGCTAGCATGGTGTATATATATTACATTTTATTCATGACAGGTGCCCTTAATTATATATATATATATATATATATATATATATATATATATATATATATATATATATATTGTATTGGTGGTATTTAAAAAGAACAAAAAAAATGTCAGATTGCTTTAAAAGCCCTCCCCTTCTAACCCAGCCCAAAGCTGTCCAATCAGAGGTATCTGCAAGGTATGTGCTCTGGGCATTTCTCTGCCTTTAGAGTTTAGCTCCACTAAACTAAACAACCAGAAAGGTACAGGACCAGTTTTTGCTTTTGCAGCCTTGGGGTGTGAGAATCTGCACATTTTGTAAAATAAAAAGAAGACACACTTCACACATTTCAGCAAGTTAAATGTGCTTCAAGGCTCTGAAGTGTATCTTTACCTTTTTATGGGGCCATGATTGTCCTGGAACTTTCCTAGTGTAACTATTTAATATTTTTTTTTATTAAAGTTTGATAATCTGCATCCCCCAGTCGCCTGCAATGTACCCAGTCTTCTCTTGCAAGAGAAGCCAAATGTCCCTATAAAATAAAGCATGGTATATTTGCATTTAGACTGGAAGAAAGGAAATTTAGTCTAAGGAAGCTTTTTTTACCGTAAGAACAATAAAAATGTGGAATTCTCTGCCTGAAGAAGTTGTTTTATCAGAGTTTGTACAGATGTTTAAACAGCAACTAGATGCAAACTTGGAAAAATATTCAATTATATAAATTTTCAATTGTTGGGTAATGGCTTCTTGATCCAAGGATAAATCTGACTGCCATTCTGGGGTCAAGAAGAAATGTTTCTTTAGTTTGTTGCAATATTGGAAGTGCTTCAAATGTTTTTTTGTCTTATTTTGGATCAACAGCAAAAACAGATGTGAGAAAGGCAGAACTTGATAGACATATGTCTCTATTCAGCCTATATAGCTGTATCCAGGAATATGCTCATTGACTGAGAATTAACAACTGATGCACTTAACCAAAGAGCGTCGTCCTGCTTAGCACCATAGAGCAAACCATATTCTGGTCTTGACTGAGAATGCTAGGCCAACACTATCACCAAATGAGCACAGTCATGGAGGGGCTTGCTTTGCTCTATAAAGCTAATCAAAAAACAAACAAAAGAAAAGACCTGAAGCAAGGACTTTGGCCACGGGCAACTAGCAGGGGTGCTGCTCATTGACTGGTCCCAGATAAGTTGTCAAGCTAACTAAATCAGGTTTACCATAGTGGGTCATAGTGGTTATGGTGCTTTGAATGTCCTTTTAACACAAATACAAAAGACCTGAAGGAGAAAGCTAAAAGCTTCCTACCAAGACTACAAGACTATGATGGAATTGCCATGATCATTCAGTGAGGTACATTTTACATTAGATCTATGATGAGTTGCCACGATTAGTGAGGTTATATTTGCCATTAGGGCTAGAATGATTTGATCAGTGAGGTACATTTACCTATGATGGTTACCATGATCAGTGAAGTATATGTATCAGAGTTGATCAGTAAGGTATATGTATGATGGTTACTATGCTCAGTGAGATATCTATGATGGTGTATGATGAGTTGATCAGTGAGGTATGTCTATGATGAGTTAATCAGTGAGATATCTATGATGGTTACTAACATTAGTGAGGTTATATCTATGACAGTCTATGATGGTTACCAAGATCAGTGAGGTATATGTATGATTGTCTATAATGATGTTGTTCAGTAAGGTATATGTATGATGGTTCAGCATGCTCAGTGGGGTTCCATCTATGATGGTCCAGCATGCTCGGTCGGGTTCTATCTATGATGGTCCAGCATGCTCAGTCAGGTTCTATCTATGATGGTCCAGCATGCTCAGTCAGGTTCTATCTATGATGGTCCAGCATGCTCAGTCAGGTTCTATCTATGATGGTCCAGCATGCTCAGTCAGGTTCTATCTATGATGGTCCAGCATGCTCAGTCAGGTTCTATCTATGATGGTCCAGCATGCTCAGTCAGGTTCTATCTATGATGGTCCAGCATGCTCAGTCAGGTTCTATCTATGATGGTCTATGGTCATGCTCATGCAGCATCAGGTTCCATCTGCATGATGATCAAGCATGGTCTCTATCTATGATGGTTCTATCTATGATGCCCCCCAGGTTCTATCCAGTTCCATCTATGATGGTCACTATGTAGCCTGTTCTATGGTTTATCTATGATGGTCACCATGCTAGCACATTCTATCTATGATGGTCACTATGCTCATCGGTTCTATATATGGTCAGGTTCATCTATGATGGTCCAGCATGCCAGTCAGGTCTATCTACGTGGTCAGGTCTTCTATCTATGATGGTCGCTCCGCTCAGGTTCTCCATCTGCTCATGATCTATGATGGTCAATGCCAGTCAGTTCCAATGATGGTCCAGCATAACATCTATGATGGTCCTTGTCTCAGTACCTATGCACCAGCCTGTCAGATCCAGTCCTGTCTATGATGGTCTCTCCAGCATGCTCAGTCAGGTTCCATCTATGATGGTCCAGCATGCTCAGTCAGGTTCCATCTATGATGGTCCAGCATGCTCAGTCAGGTTCCATCTATGATGGACCAGCATGCTCAGTCAGGTTCCATCTATGATGGTCACTATGCTCAGTCAGGTTCTATCTATGATGGTCTCTATGCTCAGTCAGGTTCTATCTATGATGGTCTCTATGCTCAGTCAGGTTCTATCTATGATGGTCACTATGCTCAGTCAGGTTCTATCTATGATGGTCACTATGCTCAGTCAGGTTCTATCTATGATGGTCACTATGCTCAGTCAGGTTCTATCTATGATGGTCACTATGCTCAGTCAGGTTCTATCTATGATGGTCACTATGCTCAGTCAGGTTCTATCTATGATGGTCGCTATGCTCAGTCAGGTTCTATCTATGATGGTCGCTATGCTCAGTCAGGTTCTATCTATGATGGTCGCTATGCTCAGTCAGGTTCTATCTATGATGGTCGCTATGCTCAGTCAGGTTCTATCTATGATGGTCTCTATGCTCAGTCAGGTTCTATCTATGATGGTCTCTATGCTCAGTCAGGTTCTATCTATGATGGTCCAGCATGCTCAGTCAGGTTCTATCTATGATGGTCCAGCATGCTCAGTCAGGTTCTATCTATGATGGTCCAGCATGCTCAGTCAGGTTCTATCTATGATGGTCTATGATGGTACACACGGTACATGATTGAAGTTGGAGCTCTCAGTACACGCAGTGTGCCCGCCATGTGTCGGGTTTACCTGGGGTGACCGGAGTGCCGGGGGCGCTGCTGCTTCCTGAGGGAGCGGGTGCGATGGGTTTGTATGACATGCTGGGCGGTGATCGGTCTGTCGGTCGGTCCGGTGTTACTGGCTGGCCGCGCGGCTCGCTCGTGCCGTGTCTGACGGTTGCCCGGAGTCCCGTGTTTCGGACAATGCTCTCTCCTGCTTTCGGCTCCTGTAATTTAGCCGGCGGGGTGTTCGCTATCCTGTCACCTTTGAAGTGGTTTCTGGACTTTTAGATTTTTTTTTATTTTTTTTCTTCCCCGATTAAACGAACTGTTTACGTTGGTTCCCCAGCTTCCGCTTTGCAGGAAATGGCGACCGGCCGCCCTCAGACCCCTTCACCTCAACTCACCCGGCTCCACTGGCCGCTACGTATTTTCAACGTCATCACGCAATAGCCGGTCCGCCGAGACCACGCCTACATGCTCGTGCGGTGCGGCTTTGACACGCCCACTACGCGCGTCCATCGTTCTGTGTGCCGCTGGGAGAGTCAGCTAGTGGTCGGGGGCGGGACTGGCTCAGAGTGGGAGGGAGTGGGCGGGGTTTGCTCAGATTGAAGGAGGGGGTGGGCGGGGTTTGCTCAGATTGAGGGAGGAAGGGGGCAGGGGCTGTGAATGAAAACAAATTAGTTTTGTGAGGGGGAAAAAGGATTGAAAAGAGCTACTATAGGCACCCAGACCACTTGAGCTCAATGAAGTGGTCTGGGTGCCAGTTCCCCCTAGTTGTAACCCTGCAGCTGAGAACATAGCAGTTTCAGAGAAACTGAGGGTTAATCCAGCCTCTGGGGCGGTCTCCCTGATAGCCACTAGAGGCCGCTTCCGCGATTCTCACTGTGGGAATTAGTGAGAAGACGCTGGACGTCCATAGGAAAGCATTGAGTAATGCTTTCCTATGGACGGTTCGAATGCGCGCTTGGCTCTGGCCGCGCATTCGGCTCCACTCGGGAGCTGACGTCGGCAGGAGGAGGAGAGCTAATGACCCTATAGTGTCAGGAAAACGAGTTTGTTTTCCTGGCACTATAGTGGTGCTTTAACCCCTTAAGACCGGAGGGCATACAATTACGCCCTATTTTGGCTCCTAAGCGCCGCCGAGGCGTAATTATCGCCTCGATCTTCATCCATACCGGTCGCGGCCGATCGTGGGGGACTCCCAGGGAGCCCCCCACGGCAGATCCTCCTCCTCCGGTGCCCCCCGGCCATGTGAGAGTGAGGACCTCACAATCACATGGCCGGGTAGGCTGCATCCTGCATTGCCAGCAGGGGGCTGCCTGTAATGACAGGTGGTCCCCCTGCTGGCTGGAAATAAAATAAAATTAAAAAGTGTAAAAAATAAATAAATTTATACTTAGATCATATATATATATATGATCTAAGTATATATATATATACACATATACATACACACACACACACTGTCTAGATGTATTTTACTATTAATATATATATATATAATTATATATATATATTAATATCAAATTACACGTAGACTGATACTGATTAAATATATATATAATTATTGTTATATATATATTTATATATAATATAAAAAAAATGTAAATACATTAAAAAATAAAATTAAAAAATAATTAACAAAAAATAATTAAAAAATACATAGATGTGTGTTATTTCGTTCTAACTGTATTGTGATATTAATATATATATTTATATCAAAATACACGTAGAACGAAATAATATCTATATCTACATACATAAATATATACGTATATATCACTATATATATACCTATATATAAAAATATTTAAGAAAAATTATATATATATATATATATACACATATAGATTTACATACGTATATATATATATATATACATATATTAATTCTACATATATATTTATGTAATATTTTTACATAACTAGGTATCTTATTTAATTACAATTAGCAGGACCTGCCTGACAACCCATGCCGAAAGTAAAGGGAATTTAATTTGCTAGCACTATATTTAACCCTATAACTTTCCAAGACACCATAAAACCTGTACACGGGGGTTACTGTTCTACTCGGGAGACTTCGCTGAACACAAATATTAGTGTTTCAAAACAGTAAAATGTATTACACGATGATATCGCCAGTAAAAGTGAAGTTTTTTGCCATTTTCATGCACAAACAGCACTTACACGGACGATATTATTGCTGTAATACGTTTTACTGTTTTGAAACACAAATATTTGTGTTCAGCAAAGTCTCCCGAGTACAACACTACCCCTCATGTACAGGTTTTATGGTGTTTTCAAAAGTTACAGTGTCAAATATAAGGCTTGCGTTTCATTTTTTTCACATTAAAATTCGCCAGATTGGTTACGGTGCCTTTGAGACCCTATGGTAGCCCAAGAATGAAAATTACCCCTATGATGGCATACCATTTGCAATAGTAGACAACCCAAGGTATTGCAAACGGGGTATGTCCAGTCTTTTTTAGTAGCCACTTAGTCACAAACACTGGCCAAAATTGGCATTTTTTACATTTTTCACACAAACAAATACTAACTCTAACTTTGGCCAGTGTTTGTGGCCAAATGGCTACTAAAAAGACTGGACATACCCCATTTGCAATACCTTGGGTTGTCTACTATTGCAAATGGTATGCCATTATGGGTGTAAATTTCATTCCTGGGCTACTATAAAGTCCCAAAGGCAACGTAACCAATCTGGCAAATTTCAATTTCAAATGTAACGTGCTATATTTGACCCTGTAACTTCCCAAAATGCCATAAAACCTGTACATAGGGGGTTCTGTTTTACACGTGAGACTTTCCCGAATACAAATATGCGTATTTTATTGCAGTAAAAGCAAACAGTATTATGACATTGACAGTTAAAATGTCATGTAGAACTAAAAAAATAAAAAATATCTTATTTTCTCCAATTTTTTTCATATAAAATTATGTTTCATAGCTAAATATTTGATATTAAATGAAAGCCCTATTTCCCCTGAATACAATGATATATAATAAGGGTGGGTGCATTTACTATGAAAGAGGTGAATTACGGTTGGACAGACATGTAGCGCAAATGCCAGGTTTTGTTTACATTTTGTTTAGTTCACAACGTGTACATTTGGCTCTGTCCTTAAGGGGTTAAGGCACCATGTAATTGTTATGGTTCCAGGAAGCTCCCAGCACACTCTTACCTCAGGGGATTAAACTGTTTGGTAAACCCAGAGTTGCCTCCAACGCCGATCTCCACTCCCCCCAAGCAGCATCCGGCTTTTGAAATTCCACTTTCAGGAAGTGTGGAGTGTTGTCTGGCGCCACTCATTGACTGATAGGCGGTTAGTTGACGCTCTTAGCCAATCAGTGACTCCCCATTTAGTTGAGGTAATATTGCGCCGGGAGCCTCCTGCACCATAACAAAGTCAGTTAGATTAAGTTGTTATGATGCCTGGAGTGAGTGTATAGGTATCATGGGAAGGTTTGAATTGAGGGAAATGGCATTGGGGCAGAGGAAATGACTGATGACAAATATATCATAAATGGCATACAAACTCCCACAATCCACTCCCAACCCTCCACTGTCAAAATGAACAACCAAACACTGTAACACCCCCTAGAATCCTAGATGTAGCAAATGCCTTTAACCCCTTCAGGACGGGTGACGGACGAGGTCCGTCACAGAGGGGAGACCCTTAACGACGGGTGACGGACCTCGTCCGTCACGCGGTAAAATTAACCCCGGATCGCCGCTATCGCGGCGATCGCGGGGTTAATGGTGCTCCCGGTATGCCTCTGCATTAGAGGCATACCGGGAGCACCCGGTCAGGCTGCCCAGCACATGTGCTCGCTCTGACCACAAGTCAGAGCGAGCACATGTGCTCTGTATACTCACCTACCGGCTCCCTGCACTTCCGGGTTCTGTGTGAAGTGCAGGGAGCCGGATCAGTGATGATCCTGCCCCCTGCTGGAAAAAAAAATAAAGTTAATTTAAAGTGTCCCCCCCTTACCCATTTTAATAAAAAATTAACCCATTCCCTGCCAATTGATCACTGACTACAGTGATCAATTGGCAGGGATTACATTTTACTATGATCTGATTTTTTTTTTTAACCCCTGAGGGTTAATTCTTTTTTTTTTTAACCCTCAGGGGTTAAATTAATTAAATTAATTAATTAAATTATTTTTAAATTATATATTTAGATAGCTGGGGTGGGTGGAAGTTAGTGGGGAATTGGGGGATTTGGCGTTAGGCTAACTAGGGGTTAACGTTAAAAAAAGTTTTAAAAGAAACTTTAAAAAGTTAAAAATTAAGCTTAAAAAATGTTTTAATAACATTTAAGTAAAAAAAACACACTTTACCTAGTCCAAATAAAAATTAACCCCTTCCCTGCCAGTCGATCACTGCCTACAGCGATCAAATAGAGATCACAGTATTATACTGTGATCTAATTTTTTTTAACCCCTGAGGATTAACTTTTATTTATTTTTTAACCCTCAGGGGTTCAATTTATTTAATTAATTAATTTAAATATTTTATAACTATATATTTTGCTAGCTGGGGTGGGTGGGAGTTATGGGAAAATGGGGAATTTACTGTTAGTGCTGCGTACTGCTAGTTAGGGGTTAACGGTAAAAAAAAAAGCTTAGAAAAATGTTAAATCTGTAAAAAAGTTTTAAGAAAGTTTAGGAAAGTTTAAAAAAAATTTATAAGCAAAACAAAAGTTTAAAAACTAGTTTTTAAAAGTAAAAAAGTTATAAAAAGTAAAAAAATACATTTTAAAAACGCTCATTACCACTACACCTGGAACAAACTAGAGAAAAAATTATCCCACGCCAAGGTTCAAAATATGCCTTTTGAATTACCCCAGGGTGTATTCTTTAATAAATAGTATGTGTTTGTGGGGAAGTTTCAATAACCAACCGTCTAAACTACTCCAAATTGTAACATGGACACAGCGTAAAACTTCAAAGTTAGAAAGAAAACTGAATGGCTGCGTCTCAAATGCGCCCCTTCAACATCCACATATACATGGCAAAGGTACATACAGGGGTATTGCTGTACTCAGCCGACATAGCTGAGCAACATATAAAGTATTATACAGTCATAGCACACATAAGGTTTGCAAAATATGCTGCGCAAACTCACTTTGTATGTCAAAAAGGCAGAAAAAATGCTTATTACCACTACACTTGGTACAAGCTAGCGGAAAAATGATCCCACGCTAAGGTTCAAAATATGCCTTTTGAAATACCCGGGATGTCTTCTTTAAGAAATGGTATGGCTTTATGGGGAATTTGGATTATATAGCCTGTTAAAATACTCTAAAATGGGACATAGGCACAGCATAAAAATTCAAAGTTTGAAAAAAACTGTAATGGCTGTGTCCCAAATGTGCCCCTCCGATGTCCACACATACCTGGCAAAGGTACATACGGGGGTATTGCTGTACTCAGCCGACATAGCTGAGCAACATATGAAGTATTATACAGTCGTAGCACACATAAGGTTTGCAAAATATACTGTGCAAATTCACTTTGTATGTCAAAAAGGCAGA